AATGGAACTTGGGCTTAGACCCAAGCCGGACGCATGGAAAATTTAGTCGCTTACAATTTGGTATCGGAGCAATTCGGAATCCATCTTTGGAAACACACTTCCTTTCCCGCAATTTGTTAGCGTCCAACACATTAGTGTTCCTCGCCTAACTTTGTCACTTGGATTCCTTCCATGAAATGGGACTGCGGTACAGGTGGATGACTAGTTGCCTCACATGAAATAGCTAGTCTACACAATGGAGGTGTTGGTGCCAAGGGACACAATGGAAGAATTGGTAGATTTAGTGCGGAAATGGAGGTGTTGGTTCCCCTTGGCTCAATAGATTCAGTGCGGAAATGGAGGTCCACCATGGGACTGCGGTACAGGTGGATGACTAGTTGCCTCACATGAAATAGTTGGTCTACACAATGGAAGTGTTGGTACCAAGGGACACAATGGAAGAATTGGTAGATTTAGTGCGGAAATGGAGGTGTTGGTTCCCCTTGGCTCAGTAGATTCAGTGCGGAAATGGAGGTCCACCGTGGGACTGCGGTACAGGTGGATGACTAGTTGCCTCACATTAAATAGCTGGTCTACACAATGGAAGGATTGGTAGATTCAGTGCGGAAATGGAGATGCTGGTTCCTTTTGGCTCAGTAGGGTGGCTCACATGGAATAGCTGGTCTACACAATGGAAGGATTGGTAGATTCAGTGCGGAAATGGAGATGCTGGTTCCCTTTGGCTCAGTAGGGTGGCTCACATGGAATAGCTGGTCTACACAATGGAAGGACTGGTAGATTCAGTGCGAAAATGGAGGTGTTAGTGCCAAGGGACACAATGGAAGAATTGGTAGATTCAGTGTGGAAATGGAGGTGTTGGTTCCCTTTGGCTCAGTAGATTCAGTGCGGAAATGGAGGTCCACCGTGGGACTGCGGTACAGGTGGATGACTAGTTGCCTCACATGAAATAGCTAGTCTACACAATGGAGGTGTTGGTGCCAAGGGACACAATGGAAGAATTGGTAGATTTAGTGCGGAAATGGAGGTGTTGGTTCCCCTTGGCTCAGTAGATTCAGTGCGGAAATGGAGGTCCACCGTGGGACTGCGGTACAGGTGGATGACTAGTTGCCTCACATGAAATAGCTGGTCTACACAATGGAGGTGTTGGTACCAAGGGACACAATGGAAGAATTGGTAGATTCAGTGCGGAAATGAAGGTGTTGGTTCCCCTTGGCTCAGTAGATTCAGTGCGGAAATGGAGGTCCACCGTGGGACTACGGTACAGGTGGATGACTAGTTGCCTCACATGAAATAGTTGGTCTACACAATGGAGGTGTTGGTACCAAGGGACACAATGGAAGAATTGGTAGATTTAGTGCGGAAATGGAGGTGTTGGTTCCCCTTGGCTCAGTAGATTCAGTGCGGAAATGGAGGTCCACCGTGGGACTGCGGTACAGGTGGATGACTAATTGCCTCACATGGAATAGCTGGTCTACACAATGGAAGGATTGGTAGATTCAGTGCGAAAATGGAGATGTTGGTTCCCTTTGGCTCAGTAGGGTGGCTCACATGGAATAGCTGGTCTACACAATGGAAGGATTGGTAGATTCAGTGCGGAAATGGAGATGCTGGTTCCCTTTGGCTTAGTAGGGTGGCTCACATGGAATAGCTGGTCTACACAATGGAAGGATTGGTAGATTCAGTGCGAAAATGGAGGTGTTGGTGCCAAGGGACACAATAGAAGAATTGGTAGATTTAGTGTGGAAATGGAGGTGTTGGTTCCCCTTGGCTCAGTAGGGTGGCTTATATGGGATGAGATTTGGATATAGTAGGGTTGCTCACATGGGATGAGATTTGGATATACTGTCACCGTAGATCCTTGGAACCTTGGGGATAAATGGGGATAAAATAACCACTAAGGGCTCTCTTATCAAGCAATTGCCACTTTTCTAGTTGACTTAAGAAGAGAGAGATAAGGTGCATTACAAGTATAGAGTGAGTGAAAGGAAAAGAGTGAAAGGGAAAAAGAAGTTCTCTATCCACTTCTAAATTACCTAAGTCACCCTACTTTACTATGTTAGTCTTAAACTTTGTCCTTTTGCTTTTTTTTGCTTTTGTATACAAATGTATTGTGGAATTTTTTTTTCATTGTTAAGCTAGTAATCTCTACTCATTAATCTTCATGGTTTGTTGGCAAAATTTATAGAATGGGGCAAGAAAAATATAGATGTTACTCTTAGAGAATCTACCCTTTATTTTCTTTTCCTCTAAGTCTTGCATTACTTGGAAAAAAATTCTATATACCATACCAAACAAGATTTTGAGGAAGGTTTGCTGCAAAAAAAGAAATATCTATCCAATATATCCTTTGATTTCTTTTTATAGAACTTCCCCATCAATGAAAGCACTCAAATATATAAGGGTTTATCTAGTATAAAGATGAATATTTTTTTAAGGGACATGTATTTTCCCTCTGTTCTAAATGAATAAATCCTTGTTTGAGTTTTTCAGAAAAGACTACTCCTTCTATCCAATTCCATTGATGTAGCTTTATAGGAAGATAGAAAAGTTTGAAAATAAGATCGTAAGTGATCTTAATATCCCTTCTATCCATTTTGAAAGTTAGTTTTACAAAATCCCATAATTGAAGAACTAATTTGCCTTCATGTGGTTTTACAAAGTTTGATATTACTTTGTAAAAAATTTTTAAACCCTTATTCTTCATTTAATTGGCCACTTTATTTATGCACTTAGGTAGTTCATCATAATGAATCCCTGCAAGGGCTTCATCCATGAGCTTATCCATAGTTTTATATCCTAAGATATAGATAATATTTATGCTTATATCTTCATGATACTTTTTGAAACAGTTTAAATTTATTATTGCAGTATTATCCTCATTTAAAGTGTGCACTTCAGCCATTTTTGGAGCTGATATCTTAGACAAAATAAATGCATTAGTTTATTTTCTCTCAAATTTATTTCCAAAAATATTTATTTTGTCTTGATACCAAAGGACTTTATCTCTTGGTTTACGCTCGCAAGAGATCTTCAATTGTCAGTCATGTTTAACCTTTTTAGCTTTTTGAATTGCATGTAGAGTCTAGATTGCTCTAAGATTAAGCTTATTTAAATTTTCTATTTTGGCAAGTTTTTACTTAAGAGCTTCTTTTTTGTTTAAGCCATTTTTAATTATAATATGCAAAGAAGGAATTATAAATTCCATAAGTATTAAAGTTTCCTGGCCATAGATGAAACAAAATGGTATCATGCATGTGGATACTTTATATGCAATTTTATAAACCCACAAAGCATTTAAGATTTTCTCATCCTAATTTTTTTTATTATCGAATAATGTAAAATATTCTTTTCCTATATTCTTTAGCCTTGACAATATGCACTTCCAGTGCTATAAATATGAGTTAGTGGAATACAACTAATTCATCTTTGTCTTCTTGGTATAAATCAATAGCATATAAGTTAGAACTTTAGATGAACTTTAACTTTGCAATTTTTCCCATTTGTCGATTAGTGGTGTGTTCATATTGGTTCTATTAAGACTTTACACTCTTCAGATGTTCCATCCTCCAAATATTTGGTTTGATGTCAACAATTGTGTACCATCCAAATTTTGGAGAGTATGATTTAGATTGTATTTTGTAGCATTACAATATACATATGTTGAATCTTTTGTAAAGACACAACAGTATTTAGATCTATTTTATGATTATCAAGTCATTTCAATTACAAATTTTATCTTTCTGAATGATAATTATGCACATCTATATGCTAATGCTGGTATAGGGCTGAATTGCCCTTGCCAGACCACCACATTATCAACAAAGTGATCTAGTGCTAGTGAAATTTCTTGCTAATTTATTGACCTGATCAATGGATTGCACCATATTATTATTATATGTTTATAGGGTCATTAGCACCCGACCACAAACTTCAATAATGATAATCTGCCCTAACCTCACTCCCACTTTGAATGAGTTGGGTGGATGTGATTAACACATGTGGTATGTGTTTTCAGCCATTATACTTAGAAGAGGGTAAATATTAACTGTTAATCAGTTAAAATAACTATAAGTCTCAAGATTTCTTATAAATAATATTAAACAAGGTTAAAACTACTTAATTTATTTCTTCACTAAATATAATTAGGATTTAATCTTAACTTTGTATTGTTTTTATAATATGTAAGATATATATGTATTTTCAAATCTCTCATATTTATTTTTATTGTGCAGTTTCTTTATAGGATATAATATCAAGAAACAATTATTTTATTATGGACAATAAAAAACAAAACTATCATGGTTTAGAATCTTCAATTATTTTTGTCTTTAACCTCTTCTTTTTTTATCTACCACAAAATACCATGTTCCCATTGATATTAGAAAGGTAAGGATTAAGGTCCACTCTGTTATTGTTCCAAGAACCGTCTTCTCTCTTGCATGACACAATCAAAACTCCTAAAGGTGTTATATAAGTCCCAGAACAAGTTCTTAGAAAGAGTGCTCCTGGAACAATTGTCCCATCCTTGTTGCCAAGGTATGGGTTGAGTGAAATGCAGCCTGAAGAATCAAGGCCTGAGTCAGTCTTGCAAATATACTGAAGTTGCCTTGGTAGATTGTGCCACTCCAGCTTAGTACATGAAGTAGTAATGCCGCCACATTGTTCTTGAAGGATTCTCCCACTTGTTTTCTGATGGTGTAAGATCTCATTGTCTGCTGCTACGTAGATCACACCAAGGAAAATGTAAAGATGTTTTGCAAAACATAAGAATTGCTGTCTTACTAAAAATTGTATGAAATTCAGGAGGATTATTGTTGTGATAATTGACATGCTCAGATTTTTACAAGAGCAATAGCACAATACTTCTAATAGGAAAACTCGAAACTTCTTATGCGAAGCGAAAGATTGTATTAAACGTTAAAGACACGGCTTGATCATTCTTTTGTCAGGGTTCAAATCTCGTGCGCATTTGTTTTTTCGGGTTAGGGTTTATGGCAGAGATGGAGGTCGCCGAGGCGCCCGAAGAGAATGTAGATATAGCGTTCAGGGCGATCGGTGGAGGCGTGTCGCTCCTGCCGCCTGGCGCGAAGGCTAGCTCTGATTATCATCCAGCGCGAGCGCTTGCAGTGTCCAATCACTTCGGCTTGACGTTCTTCGCCGCACCAGCAGGTACGATCGATCATTCTCGCGAAATCTAAATACATCCACTGTAGGTTTTGGAGTCGTGAGGACGGCGGACGTTCTGGAGCTCTCAAGCGGACCCAAGCCTGCTTCTGTGAGTGAGAAATGCTTGGCGAGCGTGGAGCTGGAGAAAGTTTCGATTTTGGAGCTTTCAAAGGATGAGCTCACGCTTGCTGTGTGTGCCGGCTTCGCTGTTCGATTCTATCGAGTGCCTTCTCTGGCACTCAAGGTTCGGTTTACATTGTCATTTTATTGTAGATTGTATGCTTTTTTCTAGGCCGACACTAGACCGTTCGAGATCCGCGACATCGGCAACGATGCGTTGATCAAGGATTTTCAGTGGTGTGGTTTGGACCAAGACAAAAACAAATATCTTGTCTTGACTTCCACAGGAAAGCTTCTCGTCGGAAAAATCGGAGAAGAGCCTACATCCATGAAGGACAATGTTTCTGCTGGTGCGTAGATTTATCTTCGTTCATGTTATTGCATTTCACTTATTCTTTCTGCAGCTTGTTGGAGTCAGTTTGGCAAACAGATCATGTGTGCTACAAGCACGAAGCTAACGATTGCGTCGTCTGATTTTGCCAAGAGTTTTGTCATCAATCTCCCAGTTGAATTTCCTGGGTGCGAGGAAGGACTGGAAACTCATGGTACGCGTCTTATCAAAAACTCGTCTGCTGCTGATGCTTTTATGCTCGTTCTAGTTGATGCTTTACGCTGGATTTCGCCACAAAGCATAGTAATTAGCTACGTCCAGTCGGAGGACGATGAAGAAATTGCCTGTCCGCTGCTTGTGCTTTCAGCGTCCCATGGACAACAACTAGATGAGGTTATTATTTCAATTAGCGAGCTTCGAATACTGACTTGTTTATGTGGACGATTTGCAGGCATGCACGGAGTGTTCTGCTTTAGCGGTTACTCGAAGATTTCCTGCGATTGAATCTACTATTATCCCACCCATGAACAGTCCGTATATGCTTGTGCAGAACCTAGAACCATGGTATGATATACATATTCTCGGTGTTTTTATTAAGTCTTTTTTCCAGGAAAATCGTGTTGACAACTTGTAGAAGGTCCATCGATGCACATGTTGGCCTTCTAGGCTGGCGGTCCGAAGGTGTTTGCAGTCTTTATTTGTCAGATGATTTGTGGAGAGCTGACATCCCCATGTTTGGTAAGTAGACATGTTTAGTATAGACAGTTCTTATGGAGTATATCTTTGTAGATTCTTCGAGTGACAATGCCTTAACTGGACTGGCGATTGATCGAACTTCATTGTTAAAACAGCCTGATCCAAGAAATCCAGAAAAACTTCTTCCCCCAAGTCCGGTAATGTTATGCACGTCACTTGACTCTCGGCTTCTGCTATATTCGGTCCTGAGGTGATTGCCAATGATTATTGTTTATTTGTCATTTTTTATATGTTATTTTTCAGGTTGGATGGTGAGAGTTGGTATAGCCCTGGCCTAATCACGATTCCATCTAGCCTTGAGGAGTGGGCATCGAAGTCTCCCGATCCTAAGGTGTGTGGCTTTTTTTTGGAATGAATGTGTATGGCCGATTTATGTTTTAGGTGGATGCCGAAAAAAATACTGTAACACCAGCTCCGGCAACAGTTGTACGTGTGGAGCCTAAGGTTACGAAAACTGTTACCACCATCAATGGCATTCAACCAAGGACGTTTTCTGCATCAAAAACTGTGAACGAGCAGTTGCGTAAAACTCAGCTGGATCTTAATCAAAAGGAGAAAGAACCGTCTTTACCTCAAGATGGAGCATCAAAAATTCCTGTCCAGAGTCAGCCATTATTGTTTAAAAGGGAAGACGCTCCTTCTCATGAGGTTGAGAAACGTTCCTCACGATCACAAGGAGTTTCCGAAATAGAAGCAGGGTTTTTGGCAGAAATGGATAAGGTACTTGAACTTGTGCCTTTTATACTTTAATGTTTGTTTCTGCAGGTGAAGAAAATCGCTGATGATATTGATGGATTTATGCATATTATCGAGATAGATTCTCTTGGATCCGGTTTAACAAGGTCTGGAGTAGACAAGCTGGAAAGCGAAATTATAGCCGTTTCAGCGCGATGCCGTAGTTTTAAGGTAACCTTCCAGGATGTTCAGTGTGATGCTTACATTCTTTAAACTCCAGCAAAAACTGCAAGAGCATTGTGAGTTTGTTGAAGAGCTTCGGGATCAAAGCCTTGATGGTATTACTGTCCTTTATTACAAGTAACAATTTGAGCTGGAAATTTTAGTTGACGCATGGAGAATTTACGTGGAAAGCCGAGTGGAACAAGCATCTGATAGCCGATATCAGGACCTCTGGGTTCACCGCAAGCTTCACCCGGAAATGGACATCAAGCGAAAGCACGTTATCAATGCAGATGAGGTACATACTACTCGTTCCCATGCCTCTTCTTAACCATGGTTTGTTTAGACATTGAAAAGACAAATTTCTGATCTCGAGTCTCATCTTCATACACTTGAAATAAGTCGACGCCAGAATATGTCTTCAAAACAGCGGTCTACTGCTGGGTATGAATGAATTTGTCAAGGAATTCGGGTCTAATTTTTTGTATGTGGCACAGAGACTTCCAATCCGTTCAAAATCTCTACAGCACAGTAAACTTTCAAATGGAAGCAGCTGATAAGCTATGTGTACATCTCGCGGACTTGATGGAATCGATGAATATATCGTCAAGCGTTACTTCCTTAAGGCCACGGAAAATGCAGCCGTCTTTATTGCAGACAAAGCCACCGCAGACTAAAGCCGAGAGTGTTTTTTCTACGCCATCCAAGTCTATCTTGAGTGATGACTTCGCGCCGGCGGAAAGCACAAGAAGGCGAAGAGATTCCTTGGATAGCGTAAGCATTATTGCGTTTCTTTCGTTTCCTACTCTTTTGCTCCTTACACTTTACAGGGTATTGGAGCAACGAAAACCACGATCAAAAGGATGGTTGGGGTGGTCAATAACCGGAAGGCTAAACTGCTTGAATCAACCTCCAATGCTCTCCAAACGATGAAGCCGCAGTCAACTTTGAAGCAGCCAAGTGTTACAGAAGAGAAAACTCTCGTACTAGCACCTGCAGCGACATCTTTGGATACGACCAGGCCTTCGTTTTCTTCCAGGACGGATATCATTTCACAGAGTTCTTCGCCTCCTTTTGGTGACTGGGGTTTAACATCGCAGCCGTTACCGCCGTCCTCTAATGCTTCAGCACTCAAGGTTCCCGATATTTCAAGAGCTTCTACGAATGTTATTCGTCCCGCGTCAGCTTTTATCGCCCCGGCCTCAATCACGAAAACGTCAAGCATCACCACTCAAGCGACACCACCATCAGCGTGGCTGCCATCTTTGGAGTTGAAGGCTGCAGCGGCTGTTGTGTCCTCCGGACCTTTGGAAGTGAAAGCCACATCTTCCACAGTGCAGGCTACACCAGCAACTTCCACATCTTTGGAGCTGAAGCGTACCGCATCTCCCACATTTTCAGATCTGAAAGCAACACCGATCACATCATCTCCCACGTTCAGTGTTTCTACAAGGTTAGGCGCTCCGTCACCGTCATTATTCCAGCCGTTGCAGTCGAAGCCATCGACCAGTGAACAAGCGCAGTCACAACCGAAGATTTCCGCTGCACCTATAGCAGCGACATGTAGCGTCTCCAGCGGTTCCTCCCAGTTGGTTGTAAGCTCGTCGACCTCGGCTACTCTTCTACCTGCAGCTCCACGTACTACATCAGTAGTGAAGCCAGCAGCTTTCAGCTTCTCGGTATCATCGTCTCCCGCTACTGCATTATCGTTTGCATCGTCCTCAGCCGCTACGTCCACGCTGAGCATGATGTCGGCTACAACAAAAGTCCCTTCCAGCGGTTACAGCAGCTCGCCGCCACAATCTACTAGTCAGCTGACTGTTTCCTCTAGTCCGCCATCTACGACTTCGAAGCCCGATATATTCGCGTCACCATTTCCAAACGTTCCGGCGGCCAGCGGCCCTTCTCCAGTTTCTTCGCCTTTTCCGGCTTTGCTTCAATCGCAGCAGCAGCAGACTACTCAAGCCGTGCGACCACCACCGGATGAAGATGACATGGACGAAGAGGCCCCCTCGAGTGCATTCTCGGGCTTTGGTAATCTCGGCCTGGGCTCGGCGTTGCCTTCAGCGCCAACCGGGAATCCATTTGGCGTAACGCCGAGTCCGCAGGCCACCCCGTTCGGAGGACTGAGCGCACCACCACCTGGTCAGCTGTTCAGGCCGGCTGCATTTTCCTTGAGCTCTCCGGGAACAGGCTTTACGTCATCGCCAGAAGGCGGTGCGTTCTCCAACCGGCCTGCCGCGGCTCCTAGTGGATTTGGTCAGGCTGCTTCGAGCGGCTTCGGACAGCCTGCTGGGAGCGCGCTGGGCAGTGCACTGGGTGCATTCGGACAGACGAGACAAGTGGGATTTGGTGGTCCAGTGTCGGGTGCAGCTGGTTTCGCAAGTGCTTCGCCGGGTGGTGGTTTCGCTTCTGCGGCAACCGGTGGTGGTTTTGCCAGTGCTACGTCGGGTGCTGGTTTTGCGGCCGCGGCATCGGGTGGTGGCTTTGCCGGTGCAGCAACAGGTAAATGTCTTCTACTGTTTTTTTTTATTTTGGAAGCAATCGACTGAATGGGCATTACAGGTAGTGGATTTCAATCGCTTGGTCAGAACATTAGCAGCGGAGGCTTTGGGGGCTTTGCTGGAAGTAATGCGGCGACACCTGGATTTGGCTCTGTACAACCGCCTGGTGGATTTCTCCCGGGTGCTGCGCAACCGCCGAATAATCCACTTTTCACAGCGATGAGAAAGTGATGTCGTTAAGCAAGGTTTGGGTGTTAAGTTTTGTTTTTCGATCGGAAGTAAGAATCTTTGATCTTGACAGGGTTGTAGCTTTTGTTTTTACGAGCATTCGTTGGAGATTTTCCAGCTGATACAAGGTATATTCCTCTTTTTTCTTCCGTAACGCACACTAGCCAGTCGAAAGAGGTTCCTTTTGTTTGTTTTCTCCTCTAGTCGCTTGACGAAATGTGTTAGCGATTTTTTTTAAACATGCAGGAAATGGTATTTGTGTGATCCACAAATTTTAGCTGCAAGTCGATCTGGTTTCGTGGCGTTCAAGATGAGCTCGGAGCAGAGGGAGGAGCATGGTTCCCGTGCTGCTGCATCAGATTCACAGCCAGTGTCAGCTGAGTACATTCTTCAAGTAAGAATTCCGCAGCCCCGTGCGTGTGATTTGTCTCGGCTCTTCCTTCCTGCAGGTGCAAAGTTTGATAGAGCAGTGTCTATTGCTCAACATGAACTGCGACGAATGCGTAGACGCGCTGTCCACGCACTCCAACGTGAAGCCCGTTGTCACACTCACAGGCAAGCAAATCTTTTTTTTTTTTTTTAACTAGCAGTTGCCTCGAGCTGTTTGTCATTTTTCTTTAAATTCGTTTTCAGTCCCGACTTAAAGGAAGTTTGTGATCCCTGCAGTGTGGAACGAACTCAAGAAAGAGAACAAGAGCTTCTTCACGGCCTACGAGAAGCACCAAGAGACCGGCAAGCACTGCCGAGCGCTGATGGAGGAAATGAGAAAGCTGCTTGTGGTCGCAAAGCCAAATATGATGACGAGCAAGCGAACAAAAGAACAAAAGGGCTCTTGAGGAAGAGAAGAAGAATGGCACGCTATATGTACTACAACGCTGGAGAGGAGCTCTTGTCCCTCTCATACAACGCACACACACAGAAGGTTTGTCGAAACTCTTGCCTTGTCTTGGCTTGGCCGTTCTACTTAACGGCGTGGATGTTTGAGTATTTCATTGTCTCGGCAAGGACGAAAGACCTATCTCTTCATACCTCGCCTCGCCTTTGCCACCACAAATATCTTACCACCACACGTTTCTCTCTGCTTTTTTTTTTTTTTGCCTCTTTCTCTTTTTCAGCTCGTCTTTCGCTGTGACGCTTGCTTGTACACAAAGTGTAAGAGGCTGGGTTCACTGAATTGTCCGCCAAGTCTTTTCGCAGCACTACGAAATAGAGCCAGAGAGTTCTTCTCGGATTGTGACTTGAAGTTTTATTTGCGTTTGAGTTTGTGGAGTTGATGATGTTACCTTAAGACAAAGCGTGGATTTTGAGAGAGAAAACTTGGCAGGTGTTTTTGAGCACTCGAAAACAAAAAGGATTTTGTTTTGTTTCATTTTTTGCGCTCAGCAGAAGATTGTCCTGTATAGATACAAAGGGGTGCGAATTATCAAAGACACTTTTGAGTGGTCAGGTTTGGAGCAACTGGTAGGCTCATACGAATGAGTTGATTGATTGGTACTCCACACCCAAATGAAAGGATGGGTATCTTTCACATTTTTGCACGCCGACATAAACTGAAAACATGTACCGAGCTTATTTAACGTTAACCATTAGTTTAGTGCATCTAAAACGTGCTATTTCGAGTTAATCATCAGTTTAGCGTATCTAAAAGGTTCCAGGCTATAAATAAGCTCCATCCCTTTAGGGTTATCCGAGCGACATATGGCGAAGAAAAGTGGCTCAGGTAATGGTGCGGTAGTGGTGAAGAAGCGGCGCGCGAGAAACGAGAGGGCTTGCCAGCTCACGGCACAGCAACTGAGGGAGCAAAACTTGGACAAGATGTGGGAGCCTCACGAGCTTCCGGACAACGTGCACCAGTGCCCACGCTGCCAATCTTACAACACGCGGTTTGATTACTACAACAACGAGAAGCGTGACCAGCCGCGCTTCGCTTGTAGGGCATGCAAGAAACAGTGGACCCAGGGCGGCAAGATAAGGGCGGCATCCAGTGGTGGACGTAAAAGGAAAGGCAAAGCTTCGAGCAGCAGCAGCGATGGAGGAGGCAGCATGGATAAGAAGAGAGCCGAGCAGAGTCTGGTGGGCAAATTCGCTGGAGAACCATCTCAAACTCCGTGGCAACTAGATGGTGAAGATATGCAAACGATTTGCTACTGGGGGCAACCTCAAGAGCTTGGTGGTAATACTAGTGCGCCAGTAGTTGGCGGAGACGAGCAAAACAACTTCTGGTTGCAACCTGGTGGTGGCGGAGACAACTTCTGGAGGCAACCTCAAGAGATTGGTGGTGCGCTGCAAGTTGGCGGAGATGTGCAAAAAAACTTGGAGCAGCTTGGTGGTGATTCGACTGTGCACGGATATGTGGAAGACAACTTCTGGGACAACTTCAAGAGTTTGATGACGTCGATATAGACATTGAGAGCTTTGGGAGATCCATGCCAGGGATACTATCTTGCTAATTCATCGAAAAGGAGAAAATCCTTAGACCTTTTTGCCATGAAAAATGCTTGTACAAAACTAGTCATTGTACTAAACTAAACATGACGAGTGGATTGGCAATGGAGGCTGTGGGATATAAGCGCCCTCAAACAGTTTAGCCAGGTTATATGGCTCCACAACGTTGTCATCCCCATACCACATATACCGAAAGTAGAGCCAGTATGACTTCTCAGTTGGATGTATAGAATCCCAAAACATAGACTTGGAGGGCGTGGGGCACAAATAAGGTTGGAATTGCTTGGTTCTGGCATCGTTTTTTAAATAAGAATCCCCACAGAAAACAGCTGCATTGAAGGGTCCGGCTCCGCAACAAGCACTCTTCACATCTTCGTAGCCTACAAGTGATACCACAAGTTATATTAGCAAACTGTACAAACGATTCTGATCCTCTTACCAAATGCCTGTGGGAATTTGATGGCGCTCATGGTCAGATCATATGTTTTGGCAAGAACGATCTTCGTGTCCTTGAGTTCTTCGCTCAGTGACTTCACTGTTTGTGCAAGTCCCTCGTTAAAGGCCAAAGCAAGATCGTTAGCGGGTTTGAAACATCCATTAGTATCACCATTCCCATTCGTAGTTGCAACTAACAATCTGGCTCTTGGTATACATCCCAGTGGCGGCAGCCCAAGTGTTATAATCCTCCTTGCTCCATCGCTATACAACACCTTTAAAATTTATCATGAAAAGCTTACCATGGTCTTACTAAAATATACTATCATAGTTACCTTGATCGCAGAGATATAAGCTCCCAACATTTTACCGATAAATTCTTGTGGGGTAACTTGCGTTTGCAAGGTAGAATCCGCGAGGTAATTCCCCATGATATCATTCGCCCCCATAGAGAAGACAAACACCGATTCCTTGTAAAACTCTGGGTTTGGCCTGGCCAACGTGAGGTTATGGAACTGCGCTAGCTGAGTGTTCAAGCTCATCAATCCCTGGAAGTAAAAAAAAAATCACGTACAAATTGAAAGTTATAAACGAGACTCTCTACATTACCTCTCCAGCGTTTGTAGATTCCAGCAGCCCAGCTCCTCCTGAAGCAAAGTTTACCCCTTGGGCGATCCATTTATCGGGCTTGAGATAAGGATCTGGAAAACGCAATCCAAGTGAAGTAGCCAGGAAATCTGGGAGTGTTCTTCCATTAGTGTATCGCCCCGTGGGGTGGCCAAAGTAAGTGTCTCCATAGGGTGGCACCGAGACCTCGACGATGGGGTTTGAGATATATAAATTGTTGCCAGCGTCCACGGTAGAATCGCCTAGCACAAACAAGCCTGGGACTTTCCTGGTACTTAGATTTGGGAAGTATTGGAGAGCTGAGGCATATGCTACTAGATTCGCCACGCAGAGAAGCAAGAGAGTAGAGGAGTGAGAGCCCATGGTAAAATCTCTGCGTTAGGACGAGCAGAAATCCATTTTTATTATGGTTCTTTTCCTGTTATGGACGTTCTGTGTTTCCCATTTCGGGCTAGGGTTTAAATTAAAAACTAAACTAATTTCCTAGTAAAATTTTATAGATGTCGGCAGCTCTCGCGGATCTAGGGAGATCGTTCTGGAGATAACATGCACCAACACCTTCCATGCCGATAATGAATTGGGGATGAATCTCACTAGTAACTCCTCGGCTTCCTCCAGCCTCAGCAGTGGACTCGTAGTGATCCCGTGGCGGATCGATGCCGTAATCCGCTGTCAAGGAGTGGAAATGCTTGCGTCCCTCCTCCACCCGCCCGGCGTGCCTACAGGTCGAGAACAAGGCCTCGAAAGTGATCTCCCCCGGCTTGAGGCTCTGCTGCTGCATCTCCTGGAAGCGACGAGGCATCGCTCGAATCGAAGACTGGCGTGTTTAAAATTTCCCTCCCTAATCCTGACCGTCCACGTGGACGCATCGTGGCCGGGCATTTTGTGAAATAGGGCTTCTGCCCTATCCTCGGCGAGGTCGCGCGGTCGCAGTCGATCAAACAGGGCCTTGGCTTCGTCTGGAAATGATCATTGTCGTCACGGTGATGAGGTTGTCTTGGAGCAAGGGGAATCGCTGGAAAACTTCTCTGGCTTCTTGGAGGCCGTTATGGAGTGCATAGCCATGGTCCATGGATGCGGAGAATGTGTCTTTCATCGGCATCAAGGAGCACAGGTCGGATGCTTCTTCCAGAAACCCATTCAGGGCGTAGGCCCTGATCATCTTGCTCCTTGTCACTTGGTTCTTTGCGCGGCGCTCTGTCGAACAGTGCTCTTGCCCCGATGGCCGAGTTCCAGGAGATCACATCCTGCTCCGGCATTTCATCGGCTACTGCCTCGGCATGGCCGCCGTTTGCGAATGCCTGGATCATCGCACATTTCTCCCGGGCATTCGAGCGAAAACATCGGCCGCGAAGCTTGTTCCGTCCGCCGCTGTGATCATGCTGTTCCAGGAGACGACGTTCCTGCCATCCATGGCCTCGAACAGATCTTTGGCCTCGGCGCAGTGGCCGGCTTGTCCATATGCAGCAATCATGGTATTGACCACGAATATGTCACGGTGTGGAAGTCCATCGAAGAAGATCTTCATTTGTTCCAGATCTCCACACACGAACAGCTCCCATCTGGAAAAATCCTCGTTCAAGCCATCGAGCATCGTGTTCCAAGAGAAGATGTCTTTCTTGCCCATTGCGAAGAACAGAGCCTGGCATTGGGAGACGTTCCAATCCGCAGAGCATGGTGTTCCAGGACACGAGATTTTGCCCGGGATCTGCTGGAAGAGATCGAGAGCTTCCCACATTCCACATAGCTCAAGAGCATCGCGTTCCAGGACAAGGTGTTGCGCTGCGCCATGCGATCAAACACGTCCCGGGCTTGCAGGGAACCGCCAGTCAGTGCCTTGATCATCGTCGTCCAGGTGATCACGTTTCTGCGAGCCATCTCGCTAAAGATCTTCCACGCTTCTTGGATCTCTCCATTGACGACATTTGCATGGCGGCTGTCCTTGTGCGGCATATTGGAGAACAGAACCCTCGCCTCCGCCAGCCGTCCGATTTCGGAGTAGAGTCCAACCAGGGCCGTCGCCGTGACGCAATTGTGTTCCGGAATGCGCTCGAGCAGCATTGCCGCGCTCTGCAGGTGGTCGTTTCTGGAATATACCGACGCCATGATGCTCCATCTTCCGGCTATGGCGGACAAAGAAGTAGTCGTGTGCCTCCTCGACGCTGCCGAAGTTGCCATACCTGGAGGTGACGACATTTTGGAGCTGGGGGTAAGTGCTGTGATGATCGTCATGCACGAGTCGCTGGTGGATCCGGCGTACTTCGGACACATTCCTGGCGGCCTTGAGCTGCGCGGCGATTGCATTTTTCTCGGCCCAGCGGTGCATCGAATTGGCAGAGATTGGTCCGATCCATATAGTGGTCAGTGCCAAGGAAACGGATCGCTTCGTTTCTCGGCATGGAAACAACTCACGGGGCCTAGAGGGACTTTTGAGGAGCTGGATCGATAAAACTGGGACGTGAATCGAATCGGTCACAGTTAGGAAATCCATCATGCAAGGAGACGTGAATCACAGTTACACGAGATCCTTCATGCAAGTAACGGAGAAGAAAGCCGCTCCATTGACAAGGCGTTTGGAAAGGTTCATCAAATGAAAGGATGTGAAAATGACAATGACCAAAGACATATTTCCAGTTTAAATTGCGTTAGGCAGACATAAGAACTTTTAAACATAATTTATAAATACGAAATGGTCGTTAACCATTAGTTTAGTGCATCTGAAAGGTTCATTATAACAAGAGCATCATCACAAAGGTACTTTGAAATGCCATTTTTGTTATAACTATACACTAAGCTTCTGCTGGCGAAACATTTTGACACCAAAAGCTTGTAGCTCATGGATCACCATCTTCGTGCCCTTAAGTTTTCGCTAAGCGGGTGACGTTGAATTTGAGCAATAGGCTTGAAACATCCATTAGTATCACCATTCTCATTCGTTATACATCCAAGCCCAAGTGTTACAGTCTTTCTACCCCAGGAAATCTGCCAGTGCCCTTCTATCAGTGGGATGGCTATACTGTTACCAATGTAATCACCTTAAGTGGAGTATCTATAATAATAAGAACAAAAGGCCCAAACCCTGCAGCCGTCTGATCTTGGGCCCGAGGCAGCCTCGGAAGCCATGGTTCTTGGGAAGGAGAAGCCACCTTAGGCCTGGGCTAGAGTCAGTGGCCATGGTTAGTGGCTCAATGTTGTGGTGGCCGGGAAGAGAAGAAGGCATAGTAACAGGTGTTCCACGATGCACTCCTAAGGCTCTATGGCTGCTTTGCTTGCTCGTGGTGCATGAGCAGAACCACAACATTTGCTGGGCAAATACTCATAAGTATTATAAAGTTCACTTATCACCTTAGGTACATGGAGTATAAGTCACTTATAATTACTGAAAATTGCGCTAGAACAAATGTTGGCGAGCAGGATATAGGGACCGGATTTCCTGGCGTCAAGGGCAAACTCGGCAGCTCTCGCGGATCTAGCGCGATCGTTTTGGAGCCAGCATGCGCCAAGGATCTTCATCCACGCCGATGAATCGGGGATGGATCTCGCTAACTCCTCGGCCTCCTCCAGCCTCCCAGACCGCGCCAGCAGATCGACGATGCACTCGTAGTGATCCCTTCCCGGATCGATGCCGTAATCCGCCGCCATGGACTGGAAATGCTCGCATCCCTCCTCCAGCCGCCCGCCGTGGCTACTGCTCGCGATCAAGGCCCCAAAAGTGATCTCCCCCGCCTTGACGCCCTGCTGCTGCATCTCCCGGAAGAGATCCACCGCTTCGTCGAAGAGCCCCTTCTTCCCCAGCGCCGCGATCATCGTGCTCCACGGCGAGGAATCCCTTGCCGCGGAGCTCTGGAACACAATTCGCGCCTCGTTGAGGTAGCCGCTGTGCGCGTAGCCTCCGATCATCGAATTCAAACCCGGCGCCGACAGGGATTCGATCGAATCGAAGACGTGCTTCGCGTCGCCCAGCTGCCCTAGCCGGGAATACGCCGCGATTGCAATCGCTCTAGAGGCTTCGTTCTGGGAGGGCATCTTCTCGAACAAGGCAGTGGCATATTTTAGATTCCCTTGCTGGCAATAGGCCGCGAGCATTGCGTTGAGGGACACAACACTAACCTCCTTGGTGGTGTCAAAGAAGAGCTTGGCCTGTTTGAAATTGCCCGCCTGCGTGTAAGCCGTGATCATGGCCGTCCACGTGGCCGCATCGTGGCCGGGCATTTTGTGGAACAAAGCTTCTGCCCTATCCATGCATTCGCCCTGGGCGAGGGCGCCGAGCATGGTGATCCAGCACAGGAGGTCGCGCTGCCGCAATCGATCGAACAGGGCCTTGGATTCGTCTAGAAATCCCGCGGCGCCATACGCGCGGATCATCGCGGTCACGGCGATGAGGTCGTCTTGGAGCACGGGGAATCGCTGGAAGACTTCTGTGGCTTCTTTGAGGCGGTTGTGGAGCGCATAGCCCTGGATGAGCGCCGTGAGGGAGGATGCTTCTTTCATAGGCATCAAGGAGCACAGGCCGGATGCTTCTTCCAGGAATCCATTCAGGGCGTAGGCGCTGATCATCGCGCTCCATGTCACTTCGTTCTTGCGCGGCAATCTGTCGAACAGCGTTCTTGCTTCGGTCACTAGGCCGCTATCCTTGAATGCCGCGATGGCGGAGTTCCAGGAGATGAGATTTTGCTCCGGCATTTCATCCAGGATCGCTGTTGCCTTCTCGGCATGGCCACCGCTGGCAAATGCCTGGATCATCGAGTTCCAAGACACCAGATTTCTTCCGGGCATTCGAGCGAAAGCATCGGCCGCAAAGCTTGTTCCCTCCGCCGCTGTGATCATGCTGTTCCAGGAGACGACGTTCTTGCGATCCATGGCATCGAACAGATCTTTGGCCTCGGCGTAGAGGCCGGCTTGGACATAGGCAGCAATCAAGGTATTTCTCGAGATTTCGTCGCGGTGTGGGAGTAGATCGAAGAAGAGCTTCGCTTGTTCCAGATTTCCAGACCCAAACGCTTTGATCATCGAGTTGAAGGAGATCTGGTTCCACACCGGCATCGTCGAGAAGAGCTCGTTCGATCTGGAAGAATCCCCCACCGTGGCAGCGAGCATCGTGTTCCAAGACACGATGTTTCTCTCGGGCATTTCGGTGAAGAACAGAGCTTGGCATTGGGAGACGTCGCCCGCCTGTGCCAATCCGGCGAGCATGGCGTTCCAAGACACGAGATCTCGCTCGGGAATTTGCTGGAAGAGATCGAGAGCTGGCTGGAGCTCCCCAGATTCGACATAGCCCGAGATCATCGCGTTCCAGGAGGTGGTGTTGTGCTGTGCCATGCGATCAAACACGGCCCGGGCTCGCAGGGAATCTCCATCCGCGGCAATTGCCGAGATCATCGTCGTCCAAGTGATCACGTTCCTGGCAGCCATCTCGTCGAAGATCTTCCAGGCTTCTTGGATCTCTCCATTCACGGCATTTGCTTGGAGCATCGCGTTCCAGGCCACGGGGTCTTTGGACGGCATACTCCAGAACAGACGCCGCGCCTCTTCCAGCCGTCCGATTTGGGAGTAGAGCGTGATCATGACCGTCACCGCGGGGGCATTGCGTTCCGGAATGCGGTCGAGCAGCATTGCCGCCTCCTGCGGATGCCCGTTTTGGGCATATGCTGCCGCCATGGTTTTCCAGGTGAAAAGATTCCTCTGGCTATGGTGGGCGAAGCACTCGTGGGCCTCCTCGACGCTACCGCACTTGCCGTACATGTCGATGACGAGATTTTGGAGGAAAGTGCTGGAGTGCAGAAGATCGTCATGTATGAGTCGCTGGTGGATCCAGCGTCCTTGGGACAGATTCCTGGTGCTAGCGGTGGTCTTGAGCTGAGCGACGATATCATTCTCGGCCCATCTCTTCATCCGAATTGGCAGTCGCACATCGTCGAAGCCAAGAGATCCATATCGTGGTCAGTGCCAAGAAAAAGGATCTCCTCGTTTCAATGATTCACGGGGGCAAAGGGACATTAAGAGTGACAAGCTGGATCGATAAAACTGGGACGTGATCGCTCACAGGTAAGAGATCCTTGTGTTTTCTAGGTAGTAATGCCTTCGTTTTAGGGTCCCCGGAATGCATTGGTGCTTGGTGGTAAGGCGCGGTTCCTCTTCGCCTTCTTCTTTGATTCATAGATTCACGTTTTTATCTCCGCGACGATCTAGCAGCAACAATGCTGGTTCTCGCAGCAGAAGAAAGCGCCGCAGGTACTACGCCGCAGATTTCTTCTTTTGATCTCTTGGGGCTCTTAGTGTTCAGCAATCTCGCGCTTGTGAGAATGTGGTTCCGGAAGAGCAGCCGCGCATCAATCCCTGGAAGGAGAGGCGCAAACTCCAGGATTTGCAAGTCGGACGCAAGTTCTTGTCTGAGGACGTGGCGACTGCCGAGAATTTGCGGGAGATGCTCAAGAAGGTAAGCTTTTTCTTTTCTTGAATCATTTTTTCAAACTAGCAAAAAACTTACAAAAAACTTTTCTCAGACTTACGAACGTATCGAGCTCAAGAAAAAGATCCTCCAGGAATACGACTTTCCAGAGGACAAGCCGGTCCACGACCCCGAGTACCTGAGCCCGGAGTTTATGACAGCCTTGAAGGAGAGAAACCGCTGCATCGACGATTTCCTCACCATCGGCAAGAGAGGCGTCTGGGAAGGTTTCATCAGAGACATATACTCTCACTGGATCAACCACGAGACGCTCCGGATCCACTGCGAAGGCTATCCGCTGCGAAAACTTCGGCCCATGGCCGAGAAAGTGGCGAGAATGAGTGGAGCTGTGGTTATCGCGGTGACCGAGGAGACCATGTCGTTTATACTCTACCGAGGCAGGAATTTCAGCCATGGTTACCAGCCACCCTCGCGGATTGAAAATATGCTCAACAAGGGAAAGGTGCGTCGTAGTTTTTTCTTTCTTGCAAGCTTTTCTTATCTTCCATGTTCTGATTTCTCCAAGCTTTGTACAGGCGCTAAAGAAGGCGCTCTTGCTCAAGTCCCTGCAGCACCTCTATCGCAATGTGCGCGAGCTCACAGAAAGGATTCACAAGCATCGGCTGCGAGCCGTGTACACTGAGAAGCAGCGAAAGGCGATTGTAGAGGCCGAAGAGAGAGGGGAGGATTTACAAGCAGACGCTTCCCAGTCGGACGATGACGAGGAATTCCAATGGTGAATTCACCATGGAGTTTAATATCCTAATGCTTTACCTGTGCAATGCATATATTATAGGAACAAAGAGAAAATATGTATGTCCTTACCCAGGCTCACACTCCATAGGTTGAAGCAAATTGGTAGTTATCATCAAGATTACTTGTCTTCATCACTTTTGCTTTGCAAAGTCTAGACTCCACCACCAATAAGGGAACCAAGAATGGAGATGGACCTTTGCAAGCAATCTCTCTGCTCGAAAGGACATCCAAGAGTGAAGGAAGCATAAATTTCAAATAGTCAGTTCGAGATATTCGGTAGTTAACATATCGGGGCACGTTTAGAATGTTACGATGAGAAATGTTAATTCTGTGTGTGACGTGGCTTTAGTTTGCTTGTTACTCACAATCGTTTATCACGTGTACATCTTTGTACTATGGTCACAAGAAGCTTGGAGATGGACATTTTGGTGGGTGTGAGACCATGTAAGTAATACACGAATGAATGAAGTTGCTTTGGTCTCTTGTAAATTTTTTCTGCTGTACAAATTACTTCAAATTACAGTGTTCAAAGAAATAAGAAAATACAAGAGGTATACAGCGTATTTATATGTCCCTCTTCCTGTGGGACGAATCACATTGTCCTTCTCGAATCTAAATTCTTGTTTCATGGCCATCACCGCCAGCATTGCCGCTCCTTACCCTTCCCGCCTCGGCGCGACGACGACGCGTTTGCCTGCGGAGGTGGATCCTTTGCGGCTCCCGAACCACGTTGCGATGATCATGGACGGGAATTCGCGGTGGGCGAAGGCGCGAGGGATCGCCAAGGAGCGCCAGCTGCGAGCAGCGGCGGAGGCGTGCTATTCCAACGCCCGGGAGATCGTGAGGTTGTCCAGCGACTGGGGGATCAAGGCGCTCACGCTCTTTGCCTTCTCCACCGAAAAATTTCTTGCGGCCCAGGGAAGAAGTGGATCAGTGGATGCAGCAATTTGACAGAGTTCTCAGCCTCGATGATCCTGCCACCATTTTGCTGTGCGTGGAATTTCTCAATATGCTTTTCATTCAGTGAATGGAAATGGATTGACTGAGTGATGATTTTTGGTCAGGGATGGGATCCAATTCCACTGCATTGGTGACACTGCCAGGCTCCCACGCCCGCTCCAGGCCAAGATCTCGGATGCCCAATCCATCACCAGCGGCAACACGGGCATGAAACTCGTCATGGCGATTGGCTACGGTGGGCACAGCGATCTGGTCCAGGCGTGCCAGGCGCTGGCGCGCGAGGTGGAGCAGGGGAAAATGGCTGTGGAGGAGATTGACCAGATCAACCTGGCAAAGAGATTGATGCTGGGCGAGCGGTGCGAGGATGTTGGCGCGCCGGAGCTGCTCGTTCGCACCAGCGGCGAGCAGCGGCTGAGCAATTTCATGCTGTGGCATCTCGCCTACTCGGAGCTCGTGTTTGAGAAGAAGCTATGGCCGGATTTTGGAGAAGAGGAGTACAAGAATGCCCTGGTGGAATTCCAGGGGCGTATGAGGACCTTCGGAGTAAGACACTACAGTTAATGGCATAAAGTAAGATAGAAAAACTGAGAGTAAAAGGAGCAATAGTAATCACAAAATCCTTTATAAAGATATCTTAGGTGGTTAGTCATATACTTTAAGAAAGAAAGCACAAAACTACATGTGTCAATAACACTAACAATGGGGATTTCATAGATAACTAGAGTGGAACATGGACATGATGCATACATCAACCATTAGTCAAAAGGCAAAAGGCAAGAGACCCACACCCCAGGAGTGGTGACACCAAGCACACCAGAGATGGAGATAGCAGAAGATTCCTCGGTCTCATGTTTCTTGGTGGGCACCATGAGATTATGTAAACACAATGTGAATGAATGAATGAATATCTTTACTTGCTTAGAGCATTTACGAACCTGTGTGAGGTTACAGTTTGTTTATCAGGGTTTTATAGTTAGCTGTCCATGGTTGTTAGTAACTACTCTAGTGTTGTTGAAATTTAGAGTTCTTGTGGCAGTAGAAGCATAAATATATGGACATATATACATGTATAATGTTACATGGTAACAATATTAATTGGACCTTCTGATTGAGATCCTGGTAAATTAATTCAGATATTATAGAAGTTATCTAAACTCGAATTTGCGATTATAATGAAGACACCACAGAGAATCAGAAGAGTGAATCAAATTTCCCTTGCAAGGTTCCATTCACGCCACCAAAACTGGTGGACAGCAACTCATCAGCTCCAACTCAAATGCTCTGGCCATGTTCATTTTGGGTGAGTACTTCAATCACTGCATTCGTTGATTGATTGCCAACGTCGGTGAGATCTTCTCCAGACCTCATTATGGCGCTGTAATCGAGTATGATAGCGTGCAGAACCACCATGGATGTAAGAACTTTCAATTCGAGAAGAACAATGGTGGACACAATCCTCCTCCATATCAATTGACTTGAAGACTTGCTCCTCCAGTTCGGTTGGATGTGCCTTGGAAGCAAACCTACTCTTGTCTATACACGTGACAGACAAGAGTTAGTACGCAGGTGATTCTTTGAGTGACCAGAGAAAAATGTAACATGGCTTTATGGAGCAAGAGTTTCGTATAGAGCCTGTACATGCGAGGCACACAAAGTGATTCTAAGCCTGGGCATAAGAATCAAGCAGTGAGTCCTAGATGCGAGAAACTGTTACCTGGAAGAATTTTGGAGGAACAACTGGTGGCTTGATTGGCAGTTCCTTACATAACGAAAAAAGTTGTAAACAAAGCCTTTCGAACTTTTCAACAAGAGGACTTAGAAAGTCACGGTTCTTGGTCTCAAACGTCAATACAGTGAGAGAGCTCGGCCCCTCTATCTACAACTCCCTGGGACACCTACTTGTTCGATATCACACCAGCATGCACCTCTTCTGCCAATATAAACATCAAATTTTCCTTTGATGCTATAAGATTCAGCCACTCCACCTCCATTTTCACCACAGACCGAAGTTCCATAGGCTTGCAAGTTCACACCAATTTTAAAGCTATCTGGAGATCGTTGATAACCAGAAGGAAGTTACACTTATTCCACAGTTGTGTCAGCTTGTCCAGGGGGTGAAAACCTGAAAAGAGTGGTTGAGAGTTCAGATTGATCATAGAGCGGAGATACTTGTTAATCACCACAACTTTCCTCTCACCTTTGTAAGAAGACAAAAGAACATGTCAATGCACAAACTCATGGCTCATGGCTAAATACCTCTTAGGCTGGTGAGCTCCATGAGCAAGATAAAACTATAGACACCTCTTGTCAAGAAAGCCCGGACTGTGACGAGAATAAAGGAGAAGAAAGAATGTAAGCAGTTAACAGAATTTGGGATGACTTTTCTCGAGCTTTGTGAAGCCACATCCACAATTATTACATATTTTTGGGTGGTCATGGGTAGGCATAAGACCACAGGGAATCCATGCTAACCTCACAAGGCCTATCCCCATAAACCACCTTGGGTTTCAAAGCGTCATGGCTATATGTCAGCGGTGCGTGAATGAAGCGCCAGATTCGAATCTAAATTGGCCCAGTACTCATTTAAATATATAAGGATATTTTCTTGCACTTTATTTTATTAATGAATGCGAAAATGCAAGGCAGATTAGTGTTTGCCCATTGATTTTCTCCCACCGCCTCTGTTGGTGTCGCTGCTAGCTTGTTTCATGGTCTAAGATTTCCTGGAATGCTACCACAGCTACGATTTTGGGCATGTAGCCGCAAAATGCCAAATGAAAAGGAGAGAGCTTGCTGAGTTAGTGGTTTGCTACCGCGAGTGGCACCTTGGCAGGAAGGTTTGGCCGCTTGGGTGTGACATGGTTGCTCTGTTGTGTCTACCAAGAATAGAACTTAATAGGTGAAATACAAATCTTTTCTAGTCAATATCATCGAATATTTACCAGATTTTGGTAAGTAATAGGATGTTTATAAGCTTGCAAGTTGAGAATTTCCAAGCTAGCCCTCTTGGCTCGTTCTTTGTCTCCAAAAAGCTTGGAAGCTCCTAGCAAAACCATCCACGATGCTACATCTGGGAGAAATGGCATGCTATGTAAAAGCTCCTCCGCCCTCTTAAGGCGTTTGGACCTGGCCAGCATCTCAACCACAGCGTTGTAATGACATAGCTCCGGAACAAGACCGAAACTCCCGACCATCCAATGAAACACATGCCACGTGTCACTCCACATGCCAGCGTGGCAGTAGCCCACCAGTAGCGCCAGGAATGTGATGCCATCCGGCACCGCCCCCTCAAGCACCATGGCACCAAAGCACTGCCCGAGGATATTCCCATGCCCGTGGTGGGCATATCCCGCCAGGAGGATATTCCACGGCACCGCGTCGCCACCGCGAGTCGCCGCGGCGACGAGCTCCTCCACCTGCGGCAGCCGCCCCGCGGCGGAATATGCCGCTGCGATGGCGTTGCGCGATGCCGCGCTCCACGCCGGCATCCGATCAAACGCGAGCCTGGCGTCGTGGAGGCGATCCGCGAGGAAGTAGGCGGTGATCATCGCGTTCCAGGAGATGCCGTCCCTCTCGGGCGCCTCGTCGTGGATCCTCCGCGCCTCTAGGGCATTGCCCACGGATCCCTCGGCGGCGATCATCGCGTTCCAGGCGACCGTGTCCCACTGCGGCATCTTGTGGAAGGCGGCCCTGGCCTGGCGGAGGGAGAGCTGCGCGTGGGCGGCGATCAGGGTTGTCCAGGATACCACATTCTTGTGGATTTGGGGCAGGGAATCGAACGCGCGCAACGCCTCCGCTGCCCGCCCGGCGTGGATCAGCCCCAGCAAGAGAATGTTCCAAGATACCACGTCCCAGTGAGGGAATCTCCCAAACAGGGCGTTTGCTCCGTCCGTGAGGCCCCTCTCCGTGGCCAAGATTCCCAGCAGCGCGTTCCAGGCAATGGCGCTCCTTTGCGGCATATTCTCGAACACCGCGAGAGATTCCTCCAAATGCCCGCGCTGGGCATTTGCCTGGAGAAGAGCTGCCCAGGATGCCCCGTCCCAGGCGGGCATGGCGTGGAGCATATTCCACGCCCGCTCCAGATGCCCGGCCTGCGCATATCCCGTGACCATGGCTGTCCACGAGAGGGAATCCCTGTGGGACATTGCGTCGTGGAGCTGGCGCGCTTCTTCCACGAGCGATGCCTGCGCTAGGGCTTGGATCAGGGACGTGATCGCGATCACGCTTGTCAGCGGCATTCTGTCAAGGAATTCCTTGGCCAGATCGAAGCGATTGCTCTGGGCGCACGCCAGGATCATGGAGTTCCAGCTGATGGAGTTTCGCTCGGGCATTCCCAGGAATTCCGCGCTGGCGAGCTCGATCTCGCCGATCCGGCCATAGGCCGCCACCGCCGCCGTCGCAGACACCACGTCCCACTGTGGCATCCTGTTCTTCACCTCCATCGCCGCCTCGATCTGGGCGTGCTGCCCGAATCCCCCAAGCGCCGCGTTCCAGGAGAAGACGTCCCTCTCCGGCATCGCGGTGAACGTCTCCAGGAGCTCGTCCAGGAGCCCTTGCTGCGCGAGCGCCTGGATTGCAATGTTCCAGGCCACGGCATCGCGCATCGGCATCAACTGGAAGATCGCGGACGCCTCCTCGACGAATCCCAGCTGCGCGTAGGCAGTGAGGATGCTGTTCCAGCTCAAGCCATCCCGCTTCTCCATCCGATCATAGATCTCTTTGGCTTTCAGCAAATGCCCATTCGCGGCATTCACGCGAATTATCGCGTTCCAGGCCACAACATCGGGCTTTCTAATCTTCCAGAAAATCTCCATCGCTTCTTTGACAAGGCCGTGCTCTCCGTACGCAACCAACACCGCCGTGTACGACACAACGTCCGGCCGAGGCATCTTCTCGAGCTTGGCCCGGGCATGGTGAATATGCCCATTGTGGGCATATGCCGCGATGAGGATATTCCACGAGTATGTATTGGGCGAGTGTATGGCATCAAACACTCTTTGCGCCTCGCCAACGCTGCCGCACTTCCCATACATTTCGAGCAGCGCATTGGCCAGGAATCTGTCCGTGGAGAGTTGGTCGCTGGCGAGAATATCCGCGTGGATTTGCCGGCCCCTGGCGAGGTCGCGCAAGCTCCCACACGCCCGGACGATCCGGGCGAGCGCTAAAACCTCTTGCTGGTCGCCCAAAATTCGCGTTTGATCCTCTCTCGCCAGCCGCAATAGCGACACCCTCATGAATCTGGCATTGTTCTAAGTTTTTGCGAAAGCGAGAGTTAGCGTGGAGAGGTCTTTCAAATGACTTGACTTTGAATGGAAGTTCTCGTTCTTTTCTCCCGCATTGAAAATCTTTGGCGTGTTGGAAGAAGTTTTCCATCGAAACTTCACTCCCTGTATGAACCTCTCTCTCTCTCTCTCTCAAACGTTCTCTTTTCTAGCTAGCGTATGGAATGGAATTCCTTTCCTTCGTTTCTATATCTTCGTCTTCTTCTTCCTAGAGGCGATGGCGATGGCGGTACATGGACGCAAACTCCATGCACAGCTTCTGATCCCTGCGATCTCCCCATCCCCCCCACCCGGTGAACTTGTGGGGATAGTTATAAACATGCCGCGAGACCTCCCAGCTGGGATCGATGTTCATGATCCGGTCCTCCGGATCCACTTGCGGGCGCTCCTGCGTGAAATCCTGGCACTCGGGTTTGCCATCCTGGTGCCCCTGGTGTAAACCACACCGCCCGAAGTGTAGCGCGCTCGTCCTCGGCCCCCGGAGAGTGTAAGCCTTCTCGTCCCAGGACGGATACACCGACGACCACAGCGTGATGTCCCAGTTGTAATCGTCGAAGTGGCAGAAGGTGGCGGCGCTCGAGTGGAGCTTGTTCCACATCGTCCGGTTGAATCCATATCCCATGTTTCCGATCTTCTCGGCGACGAGAAAGTCCCCCCGCTCGCCCCGGTTCTTGACGTCCCAGGGGGCCAAGTTCACGGCCCAGCAATCCGGGCACTTCTCGCCGGTGATCCTGGCCAGCGTCTGGATGTTCCGGTACGCGTTTGGGAACAAGTAGTGATCCTCCTCTATGAAAACTATGTGCCTGTTGTAACCCCGAGTCTCCGGAAGCCCGTCCCAGATGGTGTTCATCATCCACCACCAGTGGTGTTTGAGCGAGACGATCCTCGGGCTGCGGTGGTTTCCATACTGATCCGCCTGCCCCTCGCACTTCTTGGCCACCGGATCGTCCTTGTTCTTGCAATCGCCGGGAGAGGTCCCCGGGAAGGACGAGGGGAAGAGGTGTGGCGAGTAGGCCGCGAAGAGCTGCTTTACCTGGCAGAAGTCGATCTTCTCGACGAGCTCCGCCATCTCGGGATAGAACCCATCGTGGCTGACGATGAGGAGCGTCTCGTTGATCCCCTCCACGCGCGAGAGGCCCTCGATCACCACCCGGAGGTACTGTGGCCGGTTGTGGACGTAGAGCACGACGATGATGTGATCCCTGGCGAGCGCTGGGAAGAGTTCACTGTTGCGCGGCGGCAGCGCGTTTCTTCCCTGGGCCCAGAGGGAGGAATTGGTGCGCTCGCGGACAATGGTCGGGTCCTGGATCTCTACGCCCTCCTGGACGAGCGCCTCCTTGGGGACGATGATGGGACCTAAGGCTCGCCCGCCGCCGGGGGTGGTGTCGAATCTGGCGAAGCCCGAGCCGCTGAGCAAGATCCCCACCACGGAGATGAGAATCAAGAAGGCGAGCAGCAGATGCTGGAGATTGGGGCGCGCCCTGCCGCTGCTCACCATTTCCGCTGGATCATGCCAAGAGCTCAAGCGGATCTTTCTTTTAGGTTGAACTACCAAGAAAGCGTGGCGCCAACGGCAGCGCGGAGAATTTCGCCAATACCTGTCCCGATCGATCGACCCTGGCGATCTTGCTCCGAAATTCGCCGCTTGGCGCCGCCATTGTATCGTTCCTGGGGAGGAGGAAAGAAAATCCAGACAAAGCCCCCTTTAACGAACACAGTTTATCGAGCCTTATCCAACGGCCGTTGATGCCCATTTCCTATAAACCGTTGGATCTTTAAACCCTAAGCCCTTCGTGGATTAGGGTTCATGATCGGGTGCGCGAGGATAGACGAGAAATTGAGGGGCGAGGACAGGAAGCTGGGGCGGGAAGATCTCGTAAGGATTGCTTTTGATCGAGACGGCGCCACTGAGGAACTGGCGTCGCGAGGCGGCAGAAGCGGAAGAGATCGAGAGGCCGAGGAATGCGATGGACGATGAAGCATGGCGCGAGCTGATCGCTACGATCAAGAGAATGCTCGTCGGGAGAGTTGGATTGCTTAAACCCTAGGCCCTAAGCTTTCCTCTTGGCGATGGAGCCGAGCAGGTTTGCTTTTCTTCTCTCTCGATTGATCCAGGGAAATGCGGCAGGAATCGGCGGATGATCGCTCGCGATGAATCGGTATTTCCCGAGAGTGCTGCTCGCGCGGCAGCGGCGATTGTCCCTCCTCCAGCAGCACATTCACGCCGCGAGGGCTCCAGCGGTCAGGGATGCCTCCTCGGATAGCTCCTCGGATGAGGAGGCGGAGGATCTTCCACCCAGGGGTAGCAACAGGAATATTACGAGCGCAAGGAGCGATCTTGCTGTTGTGAATCCCTCCGCGGCGGGCTCGTCGCTGGATCTCCCCGCAGCAGCGGCGGAATCCAGCCTCGCCGCCGCCGAGAGCTCCGAGAGCTCCAAATCCCTCTCGCTCGTCGCTCGCAACGTCCTCCTGATCGCCAGCGACGAGGACCACGACTGGGCGAGCAAGGCCGAGTACTTGCAGCCGTGGAGCGGCATGGCCACCGAGGACGACGTGATCCACGTCCTGGAGAACATCAAATCTCCCAAGCTCGCCTCCCGCGTCTTCAAATGGGCAGCTCGCCAGGAGGATTTCCAGCACACGGTCTTCACCTACAACGCCTATCTCAACGCTCTCGTCAAGGGCGGCCATGGCTCCAAGGCACGCAAGATCTTCGACGACATGCTCTACAAGGAGTGCCTCCCAAACATCTACACTTATGGGATCGTTCTCCGCGGCCTCTGCGACGATGCCAAGACCGACGCGGCGCTGGAGCTCCTTCAGGACATGGAATCCAAGATGCTCACCCCGACCACCTTCATCGTCAACATGCTCGTCAGCTGCCTCTGCAAGAACGGGAAAGTTGACGCGGCCTACGAGCTCTACAAGCGGCTCAGCGACGAGTGCTCGCTGGACAGGATCTCCTACAACATGCTGACTTACGGGCTGTGCAAGGCGGACCAGATCGACCGTGCGCTGGCGGTGTTCGGAGAGATGGAGGAGAATGCCGTGGTTCCATCGCTGCTCACGTACAACGGGCTGCTGTATGGGTACTGCAGAGCCGGCAGAATGGAGCAAGCGATGACTTTGCTGGAAGAGATGATCGAAGGGAAGAAAGGCAGCGACGTTGTCCCGGACATGTACTCGTACAACACGGTGATCAGCGGGTTTTGCAAGGCCAGGCAGCTGCCTACCGCGCGGTACGTGCTGCGGAGGATGATCAAGAGTGGATGCAGCCCGAATGTGGTGACCTTCAACACGCTGCTCGACGGGCTGTGCCTGACCGGGAAGCTGGACGAGGCCAACGCCATGTTTGAGTACATGGTGGAGAGGAACTGCGAGCCGACGGCTGTGACTTACACCGTGCTCATAACCGGGCACGCCAGAGCTCTCCGCATCGACAAAGCCAACGATTACTTCGTGGACATGCTTCGCCGGGGAGTGGAGCCGAATGTTTACACGTACACCGCGCTGATCGGGGGGCTCTGCGACGCCAACAAAGTCGAGGACGCGCTGGAGATCCTGAAGCGGATGTCGAGCACCGGGAGGGAGCCGAATGTGGTTACGTACACGAGAGTGATCGGTGCTCTCTGCAAGGGCGGACAGATCGAGCGAGCGACGAAGCTGTTCAATGACGCGATGGGGAGTAGGACGGCCAAGTGCAAGCCGGACTCGTACGCGTACAGCACGATCGTCTACTGGCTGTGCCGGCAGAGCAAGTTCCTGGAGGCGTACGAGTATTTTCTCCGGATGGTGGAGTCCAAGCTCGTGGCCAAGCCGCACATATACAAAGCTATGGCGGACGGGCTGGAGCTGGTTCAGGAAACGGAGAAGGTGGAACGCGTCTGCCTGGAAGCAAGTGCTCACGGCATTGAGCTTCAGCAGAAGGACGCGCCGCAGCCGCTGAATCCACATTTACCACGAAGGAAGGCCAGGAAGGAGGTCTTTCTTCACAAGTGGGAGATAACCAAGAGAGCTATGTAGCTCCTTTGGTCGAGGTAAGCTATCAATCATTCTCCAGGAGGGGCCATGGAGTGCCAGGGACCGGAGCTCAAATTCGCTCCAAGGGACTGTGCCATGAACAGAGCAGTCGTGAAGGCCTGAAGCCCGACCTCAAGAGGTACCTGTTTTGAGATTTTCACCTCGCTGCTGCGGGACTTAGCGCATTGTGATTGCGGCACAGATGTGGGTGCGAGTTCTCTCCCGGAGAGAAAACGGTGGTGAAGATGCAACAAGTGCATAGAGGAAGAGACGTGGCCGATCGAAAAGAATTGAAGCGTTTGGGATTGTCATAGCTATAGTTGATACGGTTTATAAAAGATGACAAGAAGGTTTGATTGCGCGGGAATTTTAGTGTGGATTTCAAAAGCCCTCAAGCCCTAGGTCTATTTCCCGCGGTGGAGGATCTTGCGAGAGCTTCATTCATCTCCGGTGCCACCGTGCGCCGCCACGACTTCATGGTAGAGCATCTCCTCCGGCGTTCGTCTCTCTTGGAGATCCCTCTAGTCGCCAGGGCTGTCCGCGGATCACAAGGTCCACCTGCAAATGTACGCCCTCGCTCGACCGCCGGAGGAGAGAACATCGTTTTTCATTCGCACTGGTGGCAGCACTGGATCATTCACAGCGGAGGAGCGGCATGGCCTCCCGCGTCTTCAAATGAATTTCCAGGACGCGGCCTCGCCTTCCTCCTCCATCCAAGATGCTCGCCCCGGCCAACTTCATGCTCGTCGGTCCGCAAGAACGGGAAAGCCCACAAGGGACGAGTGCTCGCTCAAGTCTTCTACAACAGACTTCCGGGCTGTGCAACTGTAGAGCCCGGGAGAATGGAGCAAGCGGTGGTAGAGGTGATCGAAGGAAAGAAAGGCAGCGACGTTGTCCCGGACATGTACTCGTACAACACGGTGTTCAGGGGCATGGTACGTGCTGAGGAGGCCGGCGGACGGGGTTGGAGCTCGAGAAGGTGGAACGCGTCTGCCTCGCAGCGAATGCTCATGGCATTGAGCTATCGCTGCGCTCAATCCACATTTACCACGGAGAAGGTCTTCATGCTTGACGAGATAACGAAGAGAGCTTGAGGTGCGTTTCGAATCACTCTCTCCATACTTGCGTGTTTCGATCGTCTATCCGGATTGACTCGCCCAGGTAACGGTCACTCAAAAAAGTTTTGGGCCACCTTGTACAAAAGAAGAAATGGCCGTACTGGGAAATCTTGGCAGATGCCCGGAGAGGACGCTGCTCGTTGTTGGTCACGCTTGACGAGCCAAGAGCAACGATGGTGGTGACCAAAACAATGCAACACCGGCAGGGTGGCGACCAGGTGGTGCTACGGAAGGGCCCGTGGATGCCAGAAGAGGACGAGGTGCTGCTTGAGTACGTTCGTCAATACGGTCCCAGGGACTGGAGCTCCATTCGCTCCAAGGGACTGTTGCCACGAACCGGGAAATCGTGCAGGCTTCGCTGGGTGAACAAGCTCAAGCCCGACCTCAAGAGGTACCTGTTTGAGATTTTCACTTCTTCTTTTCCCTCGCTTGTGCGGGACTAATCGCATTGTGATTGCGGCATAGAAGTGGGTGCAAGTTCTCTCCCGAGGAGGAGAAAATGGTGGTGAAGATGCAATCCAAGCTCGGCAACAAGTGGGCTAAGATCGCTTCGTATCTCCCTGGACGCACGGACAACGACGTGAAGAACTTTTGGAGCACCAGGCAAAAGCGTCTGCTGAGAGCCTTGCAGCGTCCGAAGCTGGGGTCCGGCGCGGCCCCTGGAAGCTGTGAGGCCTCCGCGGCTTCGTCCTCGGACGCGATTTACGAGACTACTGCTGCCAGTGAGCTGACAGCCTTCCAGGTGCGATGTTCAAAAGAAAACTCTCACAGTTCTTACGCTGATACGCTGAATCAACAGGTTCCTGGAGCAACAGTGCCAACCAACTTTGAGACGGCATTCTACTTTGGAGAAGACGAGCACCATGCAGGCTTCGAGGGCGGCAAGATGGAGCCATCGGAGCTTCCAAGTTTCGAGAATGGCGATCTCAGCATGGTGCCGAGGATGGAGCACATTGCAGCAGCTGGAGACCACCGCTTCTTTCCGGAGTCAGGTTTCTACTTGCCCGAACAACAACGAGACGACAGTGACGATGGTGCCATCGCGGCCCCCGCTTGCTACCAGAGCTTCCAGGGAGGCTCCGGCGGATCGTCGTCAAGGATCTCCTCCAAGGCTGGAAGCCGACGCTCAAAAGTGATCAAGCGTGAGCAAGCGCGGTATGGTGTGGAAGAGAACGCGTCGGAAGAAGAGAGCTCCCATCACGATCATCGCCATCACGCCTTGCGCGGCAGCGGCGGTGGAGTTTTTGGCGTCAACTTCCTAGTGGAGCAGAGCAGCATCGGCGAGGCCAGCAGTGAGTTTGAGTTTCTTCTCCAGCAGGAAAGCCAGCAGCAGTGCTTGCTCGTCCACCACCACGACGAATTCCCGCTGCCAGGTTTGAGCGGCCATCACGGCCACTGGGACAAGCTTCCGAGCCTGGACTACTCCGCCGAGGTGAAAGGTAACGCCGCCACCGCGAGCATCGCCATTAGCAGCAGTAGCAGCTGTAGCAACTCCAAGACGGTGGAAGATTCATGCAGCCCCGACAGTGTTCTTGCCACTGCTCTTCCAGGGGACGTTTTCGACTGCTTGGAGCCGCTCTGCCCGGCATCGTCCTCCGAGTGGTGGATGACTAGAACAAGCTAGTTCCTTTGTGTTGTTCGTAAGAACTTATCACCATCTTTTTCTTTGTGAAAGTCATTATTTTCTAAAGATGTACGAGGTTTCTTCTTTAGTTTCTGCCATTCCAAATGTTAAGCATGTACCGTTCGACCTTGTCTCCCTGGGACACCAGCCATAAGATGGCGAGCCCCGGGGAGAAGTGCTGGCCTGGAGCCCTCTTCCGCTAAATTACCTTCCGAAAGAGCTCCTCCGGGTGTGAGCGGCAACTTCGACGGGCTTGTTCCTAGTGACCACGCAAGCCCAGCTGTTCATCACTTCTCACTTGCTGCTGGACTGCACGCCCTACACTGGAGCCCCAGATTGCGGGCTTCCATTGCCACTTTCCAGGCGTTCCCAGACTCGAGCTTCCGGGTGGTCTATGCCTCAGAGAATACGTCGATCGCCTTCAACAACTTGAAGCTCCATGTCTACGATCATCGCTGTGGTGCGGCAGTAGCGGCAGCCGGGGGAGTGGACACTGGAGCTGGCCCCAGATGGACTTCTACATGGGCCCTATACCCTTCAAGCTCGGCGAAGTGCCAGGTTTGTGCTCTTTTTTCTTGCCAGAAACCATTTTGTTTTTCTTTGCAGGTGCTGCGGATGTAAACTAGAGACGTTACGTAAGTTTCCATTCCTTGAAACGAAATAGTACCCCCATATCACTTTCTTCAGAGAGGAGTGTTCTGCCCGGCATCGTCCTCCGACTGCTAGATGCTAGATGCTAGAACAAAGCTAGTTTCTTTGTGTTGTTCGTCCATTCGAAGAACTTGTCAAAGTGATTATTCATACAAATAAACACGATAAGAGGTTTCTTCCTTAGTTATGACTTGCATTTGCGATTCCAACAAGGTTGAGCATGTTTCGCTCTTCCTTGAACCTCTCCAGAATGGTGCCTTTAGGACCCACTGCCACGCCTTTGTCGCCCTCTTCGCCACCTTTCACCACAATGCCCCAGCACTCTATGACGTCGGGAGTTATGGCTGCTTGGCTCGACAGCGCTGGACTGTTGAATGTCACCGACGGATACGTGCTTCCCCGATCGAATGCCGAGTGGATGAACAGCCCAAAGTGGTGAATCTGGCCCCCAAAGCCGATTCCGTTTGGTATGTTGGGAGAAGTGTAGTTTATCGCGCACTGTACGTTGGAGAAGTTTGAGAAAAAGCAAAAGAAACGCGAAGAAAGTTTACCCATTGCAAGTTTGAGTTTGAGCCGGATGGCCGATGGATAGCCGCTTCTGGGTACAATGTGAACAAAAAGCACTTCATGTCGCCGTAGAATTCGCTGTGCTTTTCCCACGGCTGAGAAGCATAGCCACCGTAAATACAGCCCTCTTTGTCCTTGATCACCAAGATCGTGCATCCTTTCGAAACACTGGAGATGGATCGTTCACAGAAAAGAATCTCATTGAAGAAAAGGAAAAGAGAGGAACACTACCTCACACTCTTCAAGAAGGTGTTGAAACTCGCTCCATTCACTGAGCTGTGGTAGAGGAGCATCCAGTCCTCGCACTCTTGCGGTTGTAGCTTCCCGGCGATGTGCCAAGCGTGTTCTCTTCTCAAAATAATGTTTTGGTTGTCAAGCTTTGGTGGGATCAAGAACTGAGGGACCTGGCGCCCACGGATCACTGCACTGTAGAAACAGATCTAGCTAGTTATACAGTACAGAAGAAGGAAAACTCAAGAACCTGTTCCTGGAGAATGTAATATGTTCGTGAGAAACTTTTTTGCTGAGGGCACCAGCTTACACCACCGATGAAACTCTTGAGGGGTCATCAAGAGCTTTCCTTGATCCTCCGTCCATCTCACGGGTTTTAGAAACGCTTGGACGCTTGAGTCTGGCAAGCCATCGCCAGTGACGGCGTCCTTGGGGCCAAGAACAGTCTCTAGCATGGAAAGAATCACAGCTTCGACCTCCTCTCTGACAATAACAACAAATACATGGTTTCGTTTCTTTGTAATTCCTCAAAACCGAACCTGTCAGCGAGATCGTCGCCATTCAGATCGAGCAGCTTAAACATGAACTCCTCCACTTCGTCAGGAAAGCCTTTCTCATATTTTGCCTGTGGAAAGGAAAGAAAGAACGAAACTGAGAGTTGAGATGTCGCGAAGCAAACCTTAGCGGTGACGAAATCTCGATAAGTCATACGCTGGTCTTTCCGGAGCTGAGTAACCAGATCAAAGAGACGAGATCCAAGAGCGCCATGGATTCCGTAGTAAGCCTGCCAAAGAGAAAAGAGACTCAGTGGGGGAGAGAGAGAGAGAGGATCTTGTGTACCTGGAAGGCTGAAGCGATGATATACTCTCCATTGCTTCGGGACTGCGCAGCAAGCGAGAGGTAGAGCTTCTTGAGCTGATTCACCTCCGATTCCGAGAACCTCCTGATCAGATCAACGTAGCGCCGATCGCGAAAATGTGAGAGAGTAGCGCATCAATGCAGCGCCGATCGGGAAATGCGACACGCACCTGCAAACAAGCTCGAATTCCTCGTCGCGACTCTCACTGTTCCCCATCGAAAACCCTAAAACAACGTGTCAAAAGAGAAATTGCCACTTCACCACGAAGAACGTTAAGACATTGGAGCAAATCTTTTATAAACAATGGATATAAACTTGCGAGCGATCGATTTAATTACAAAAAGTACGTCCTCTTTCTCGATCACGATTTCACGACTTCTTCGTCATGCCTTCTTTCCTCGAGCTGGTCGACGATCGATCACTCACGAGTGATTGACCGCTCGGCAGCTCTTGCGGATCTCGCCCTGCTGCCCCGTCTTCACCTTGACGCTGCCCATCTTGATCATGGCCGCCGCGAACTTGGCCCGCCAGCTCTCCTCGTCCACGGAGCTCGTCTTGATCGCCTTGCTGGTGGCCGCGTCCGAGAAGAGCACCTGGTCCGACCCCAGCACGCCCTTTTGCAGCGCCAGATTCACGTAGTAGCTGTTGTCGAAGTGGATGGGAGTGTGGGAGTCGAGCACCACCGAGTTGATGCCGCGGCTTTCCCTGGCGGGCACTGCTTCTTCAAGGCGGTCGCGAAGTTTGGATCCAGGGTGGGATCGGTGGAAGCGTTGGCGCTGAAGTTGTACAGCCTGGGGCTGAATGTGAAGCAGTGCGCGATCCCGATCGTGTGAGCTCCTGAAGATCAAAGTGTTTTTTCCTTTAGCGCGGCTAGAGAGTTTAAAAATTTGATTTTTACCCGAGAGAACGATCATGTCGTCTTGAGAGAGGCCCTGCGCTGCGAAGTTCTGGGTGAGCTGCGCCACGTTGAAGAACGGAGCTGGCAGGCTCGCATTTGCCTCCTTCATTCGCGAGATCGTCCCGTCTCTTCTCCCGACCGGCACCTCCCAGAACGGCCCTCCAAGCTGAGAAAGAAACGAAAAACAAGATGTGAGTTTGATCTGGAAAAGATGACAAAGAACAGTGCCTTGAAGACGCTGTCTCGAGCAGCGTACGCCACAATGTCTGCGCAGGACACCACTCCCGGGCACTGCGTCTCCAACGCTGCTTTGGCTGCGTCGATCACCTCGAATCCCCTCAAGCTGATGTTGGGTGGAGCGTCCTTCTCGGCAGAATTGTTCTTGGTGGAATCTATAAGCACGGAAGCGTCACACCCCTGGAATCAAAAGAAGAACAGCATGAAACTTTTAGTAGACAAAAACATAGAGACAAATCTTACTTGGACAAAGCAGTCGTGGAACTGTAGGCGAAGCAGCCCAGCTCCAACTCCAGGCTTCCTGGTGATGGCATCCTGGACGAAGCTCTGGACCACCGCCTCCACTTGCGGGCATTGCTTCTCGTAAAATCCCACGCTCAGCTGCGAGCTAGCAACGCTTGCGAGGATCCCGATCGTTCCAAAGACCACTGCAATCCAGAGCTTCGCCATCTTTCTCACAGGCCAAAGTTCCTGCTGTGAGCCTCTTCTTCCTCCCTGCCTTGGAGCTCGAGCTGCTTTGTCCAGGAGTTTGTCAGCTCGGGATTTTTATACCTCCCAAGATGTTTCCAATGCCTACGCGATTTGGTTGGAAGGTTGAGTAGCTTGTGAACAAGTACATTGTCAACCACCTCCTTATGAACAGCTTTAAGCCAAAGTTTACATTTCTTCAGAATAACTCTTGACGCTTGTCAAGATCACTAGTTTGCTGCGTTGGTTGAGAGTGGAGTATTGATAAATCCTAAAAACATTAAAGTAATATTTGTTGTCTATGAACAGCGATAATAAAATTCGCATAAACAAAAAACTCTTATCTCTTGCGCTTAGTACCACTCCCCTTGCCTTTGCTTGCCGAGGCACTCGGAGTGGTAGCCTTTCCTCTGGTCTGCTTAGTTTTACTAGCACTACCATTACGCTTAGCTGCAGAAAGATTGTAATATAAGTACGCGTCCTAAGTTTTGGGTAGCTCACCTCCACTGGAATTTTCGCCTACAACATTAACTTCATACCCCGCCTTTGCCATCTTCAGTGCATCTGGAGAAAGCCAATCAGAACCATTGAAACTGAAACTCAGAGACAAACCTAGGCCGCTTTCCTTGTTCTCAACTTCGTCCACTTCCTCGTCAGCTTCGTCTAAAAGCTCCATTAGCACAAACTACGATGTAAAACCTTCCAACGTACCTTCATCCTCTTCTTCTTTGAGTACTTCATCCCCCTCTGCATCGTCTTCCAGTGTGACAAGTCGAGCCTTCTTCTTCGAAACTTTCTTCTGGCCCGGAAATACAGAAGGCAAGAGGTCGGCGGTTTTCACACGCCGGGATTGAATACTTTGGGTAAATCCTCTTGTAAGTGCTGCTTTTACTGCTGGAAGAACTCCCTCCAACGGGTCAGGACGCCCCTGAAACGCCACACTTGAGCACACAGAGTAACTCTCAAGAACATACTACCTCAAACTTAGTGATATCCAGAATCGTGTCCATGTCCCCTTGAGTCAGCGAGTATTCCTCCATGACATCAATCACAGCTCGTACTGCATCGCTCTGCAATCGAAACATATATGTTCAACATATAACTCCTATAAGTCATAGCTTTGAACCTTGTCCATGGTACGTAATGGTTGAGTCAGTTGCGTACTTAAAACTGGGAAATAATCTAGCCGCAAGTCCCTCCTGAAAATCACATGGTTAGAGTCACGTTTTTTCAAGACAACTAAATACCGAGTAGGCTCGCCAATACGAGAGCAAAGCACGTGCGCGTGAACATCTTCTAGCAAACGGGTTTTCTTGCCAAACGTGGAGTTTTTACCAAGCCAGCCCCCAAATCTATTGAAGTTTCGTTCCCCCTACAAACAGGTGACTGAGAAACTCCGGTTCAAGTAGCAAAATTCTAATTATGAAATGACTGTACCTGAGTAAGCACTTCCCTTTTCCCATGCATAAGGGAAGCACTGCACGATAGAAACTCACATAAAAATCAAAGCAGACAATATTAACATCTACTTACGGAATGATAGAAGACATGAAAGCACTTGACCGAGAGAGTTGCCATTGCCGAAACCTTCGAATTTGAACATTTAGAATGTCAGCACTCGCTATACTTGTAGCCGCCTGAGCAAGAAGATCCATACGAGCTGTTCCATTGGCGTCTCGCCCAGCACCAGATGGTACAAAATTTAGATAATTTTCCTGGTTGAACGCAAATAATCACAGTCGAGCTTCAGGCAAGAAGCAGTTAGTTACCTGTATAATAAGTGGAACCAAATCCATGTCCGACATTGCCAGGTCTATTCTGTCGTCCATTTTCAGCCTGCCTCCCTCAAATCCCATTAATCTAACAAGAGAGTAAATGTCAGCCAATGCATAACGAAAACACGACCTACTTGTCAACCGCAGAAAACGGGCTGATATCTTCGTCTTTCCCACTGGCCACTGCGTACTGTTTGATATCATCATACTTCAAAACACTTTTATGCAAGCTCATGTATTGAAGCTGATTCAGAGCGAGCCGCATATCCCCGTGGGTGCGTTCTGATAGTTCCTCGAGTGCTATCTGCAGAGGTGACAACCGGTAAGAACTGGAATTGATTTTCAATGGATTACCGTATCAATGTTTAGCTTTTCTGAACGTGCTATATCTTGGAGTCTTTTAGCCATCTGAAACATGAAGTCAATCAACACTGAATAACAGCAATGCTTTCACAGTACCTGTTGTTTAGTGGGTTTCCTGTACGACAATAAAAGACAATAGTTGACGAGGCTTTTCAGCTTTTGACTGTAGCGATCATTGCAGATACAGATGATCGGAACTTTGCTGGTCTTGATACTTGCAATAAGATCTGCTACTCCACCACGATCACCCGCCGACATGCCGTCAACTTCATCCATAATAAGTACCGATTGTTTTTGCTTGTTTCCTGCCCTGTAACACGTGCAGAGTTATAATCTTGTAAAGCCCTTTTGATATCGTACCAGCCTCCCAGAGATGCATTGCTAACCATTTCTTTCACGGCGTTGGACGTAGAGCCTCCTATTCCTCTTACTATTTTAGAATCTGCTTTACCACGACTATCACTTGCATTTACCTGTAAAGAAGAGTAAGGTCATTGTTAGTTCTGAAGGTCATATCAGAACTATAACAAGACAGACCTCTACAGCTTCATATCCCAGCTCTTCGCATAGAAGCCTAGCAGTTGTAGTTTTTCCAATGCCAGGTGGCCCGCACAGAAGCACAGCCTTCTTTGCAGCACTGCTGCTGGCGGCCTTCTTACCTTTGGCACTTGCAGCCTGAGCGTTGTTGTTTTTATCCCAGTCTGAGAGCCAGTCTTTTAGTTGTTTTACCTGCGCCAAGCACGTGAATCAAACCATTGTTCCGAATAAAGAGTTGAGATACTTACAATGGACTGATTTGCGATAATATCAGCACTTGTTTTTGGTTTGTGCTTAAAGGGCCACGTTTCTTCTTCAGTCACTCCAGCTCGACTCGACTGCGGCGCTGATGCTAATCCTTTTGAAGGTGAGATCTTTGGAGGCGGCTGTTTCTCTTCCACTTTCGGCTTCTTGTCTACGTGCAGTTGCGCACTAGTTCCTGTGAAATACATAAGAAACGCAAAGAAAACTTATTGCGCACTATATGAAGCAAGTAATTACCTTCTGCTGGGCGCTTCGCAGGTACTTTCGAAGGCGAATCAACCTTTGGTTTTGACGCACGAATTTTGTCAAAGAGGCCATCCTCGGTAATAAATGGAGTTCTGCAAAGACGTCTAGCGATGAGTAGCTCAGAAGAGAGATGAAACTCACCCCAAGTCATGAGCCTTCTTGGACTTTTGACCCCCTACATCTTCATCCGCAAGTAAGAAACTCTGCAATACCTCAGCTCTATTTCATTAATCTAAGACATCCTCAAAACGCACCGTTTTCTTGCTGACCGCAGACGTCACTCGACCACCATGTCTCTTGATCAGATCTTCAGCTTCTTCGCGCTCGAGACTGTCCAGTGTTCCACTGATAACAAACGTAAGACCAGCCAACGCATTCTCGGCTCCCTCTGGAACTTCCTACATTCTCAAAAGCAATGAATGCCACCACCAAGAAGAAACTAGGCGAAAGAAGCATGCTTTACCTTCTCTCCTTTGTGTGGAGGCGCCTCTCGAGCACCAAAGTTGAAGTTTCCACGACCACCTCCTCGGCCTCTACCGCCGGCTGGCTTCTCACCCGCAGCACCCCTCCCTCTCCCTCGTCCACGGCCTCCTTTTGGAGAAACTTCCGCCACGGAATCATCCTTGGATACGTCAGCTTGCGCTGGCTTCTCACTCACGCTATCGCTCTTTGGTCTACCACGTCCACGGCCCTTGGGAGGGGAGTCCTTCTTCTCATCCTTGGTAGATTGCGCTGGTTCCTCGCTCACAATCTCCTTTGCTTTACCTCTTCCTCTCTTGCCCTTTGGCGAGATTTCTTCCTTGGCAGCCTCTGCTGGCTTGTCGCTCTTGGCTGCTCTTCCCTTGGCCGGCACTTTCGCATCGCTCGATTGCTGCTGCTGCTCTTCCGCCTTCTTTTGATGCGGCTTCAAGAGCCACTTCCGGAGATCGCCAGACTGCCAGCACACGACGAATCAGAGAGAAAGAGATCGCCTTTCTTACCATCGCGATTCGCGACTACGCGCTCCGCATTTAGGGTTTAAGCTAGGGCTTAGATGTAGTATCTTTCGCGAATATCCCAAGCTCTGTCTCGTGGTTAAGTTGTGACTAAAAGCCTCACGTTTTCAAATGGGCGTTTAAGCGGGAGTTTGTCAACGCGGCGCGTGACTTGACGTCCGTCAAGTCTAAACGGCAGAAAGGCTATAGAGTAAATAACACACTCAGAACTTTAGGGTTCTTGAGAGCGCTCTCTCTTCTTCTTCCCGGCTTCCCAGATTTCCCTCTTGCGCGTAGCCTGGCGCTCTAGGCAGGCACAATGATCGGATCGTTCGCGACGCGGGGGATAACGTGAGCTCGCTTTCTTTTGTTTTTATTTCCTTCCCGGACTGAGCGATCCGTGCAGGATGTTCGTGGGGTACCTCTATCCCGCCTACGAATGCTTCAAGGTCGTGGAGCAGCGGAGACCCAGCGTGGAGAGCCTCAGACTTTGGTGCCAGTACTGGTGAGAAGAATTCGAATTCCGGCACTGTGTGATTCTTGAGTCGGTTCCTCTTTCAGGATTCTCATCGCCTTGGTCACTGTGATGGAGAGATTTGCTGACACTTTCATTTCGTGGTAAGCACGGTTATTTGTTTTCTTCCGCGGTCAGTCAGAGTTTTTGTCCCGCTTTGCAGGATTCCGATGTACCAGGAAGCTAAGCTCGCATTCATCATCTACCTCTCGTTCTCAAGAACTCGGGTAAGCAAAATTTCTTCCAAAGGTTTCCTTAGATTCACAATTCTCCTCTTCCAGGGAACGGCATACATTTACACCACATTCTTGAGACCTTACGTTGCGAGCCACGAGTCCGAGATCGATCAGCACCTAAACGAGCTAAGAACCAGAGCTCTTGACTTTGTGGCTGCGTACTGGGAGAGGAGCTCAGCGTTTATGCAAACCAAGTTCTTCGAGATCCTCCAGTACGTTGTTGCTCAGGGCCATAGGCCAGCAGCTGCACAGCCCCCGCCACCACCGCCACCGCCACCTCCTGCTCAGGTAATTCTCAAGGATTGTTGAGGAGTTTATCAGAAACTGATGACTTCAAACTTTTCTCTTTTTTAGGATCCTCCTCCTCCTCCTCCTCCCGGCAATTATCCGCCGCCTCCTCAAGTTCCTATCCGACCAACTGGAGCGTTTTATCCGCCTGCGCTGCCTCCCGGCTACGAGGCATCAGCTCCTCCAGCTCCAGCAGCTCCACCCGCAGCAAATTTCGGGCCAGTGGCAGCGGACGCTGGATACAATCCTGGCTTTTATCCTCGCTTTCCAATGGTTCAAAGTCCGCCTGTAGCTCCACAGAACCTGCATACGGTGATCCGCGAGCACATTGATCTGGAGGAAGAGGAAGAAGAGATTGTTATGAGGCCAAATGGCAATGCTGCTGGGGTGGTAGCATCATCTTCGTCAGCTGCCAGATACATGACAAGGAGCAGGCAGCGAGCGACTGCCAGCGGTAATCGAGCTCGGTAAGAAGCAGAAAGCATTTTTGGGAGCTGGCATGTACAGGGATTGTTTTTTTTTTTGCTCGCCTTATAACTTTTTGCCTTCGCAAGCACGCAGGCAAGAAGATCTGTACACATTTAATCATTCCTGCAAATCAAACTTAGTTTTCTCGCCCATCAGTTTGGTGGCAAGTCGAGGTCAGCCAGCCTTGTCTCTGTATCTCTGCTTGGTTTCCAGGTTCTTCTTTAATAATGGTGCTGGCAAAAGTATGACCGTGTCGATAGAACCTGGGAGCACTGTTGAAGCACGAGGAGAACTAAGTTGGAAGAAGACACAAGACTTTTTCGTCAAGGTTGGATTTCTAAGAAGCTACGACCCTTTTTTGATTAAGCTCAATGTGCTCACTCTTTTGGATTGTTCCATGCAGCAGCTTCCTCCACAGGCTCGTGGCAGCATTTAGCGGTGAGTCTATCTTTGCTAGTTTCTGACTTTCATTTTCTACAGCTTATTACAAAATAGTGATACCGTCACCCATAGACGAGCACGCTATAACTTTTGGCTAACTTCTTCTTGTAGAACATGAAGCAGCATTTGGTTCCACATATCGATTGGCCCTGGCAAGCACCAGTGCAGGCAGTCATGGACTACGAGATCCTCCTGACCTCTGTATCTCCCAGGATGTCCATCTGGCCTCAAGAACATACTCCTGGTGATGTCGATGATCCTGAACTTGGCGCGGCTTTTTCTGGTAAGCACCTCCCTTGACGCTTCAAGTTGTAATCTCCTCATCTCGCTTGGCGTCCAAGTGACTTCACTGCTCTGGTTTGCTGTAGGCTTGGTCTTGTTACAGGTGCCACCCGAGTTCCACTGCCCGTGCTCATAGTGCGACATTGCTTCCGTCCGGAGGATCACTAGGCCACTGAAGCCGGCACTGTGAAGCACATATTCCAACGCACTTGCAAACGCCATCTTTAGTCCATATGTGAACTTCACGTCTGGTAAGCTGCTGTGTGGAAGCTGCTCATTGCGTCCAACTGTGGTGTTCTTGACGTAATAGATGCTTGGCCGGAAGAACCACTGTCCTGCGGAGATGACCACAATGTCGTACGAGGAAACCTCCGAGGCCCAAACCGCTTCTGGAGTGTCGAGGTGGATCTCAAAGGCCTGGGAGGTTCTCCGGTGCTGGACGAGCAGCGGCGACCAGAGGATCGCGAGAACGAAGCCGTGAGAGGGGAACTCGAGCTTGATATCCTTACGTCCTCGCGCGTAGAGCTTGCGGGGCGTCTCTACCTGGAACACTAGAAAGATCGAGAGGTTGTGTAGCAGAAACGAAAGTTTTACCTGTGATAGAGAGCACAAGAGCGACTGGTGGTGATTCCGGGCCAGCGAGTCTCCAAGGAACAGTAGCTTCTTACCTCTCACTAAACTCAAGTAGAGACTGGGATCGAAATGTGGCAGCTCGCAACTATCCGGTTTCCATCGCCACTTAAGGTACTCGTTATCTGGTCTTCCATTCTTCTCGCAATTTTGAGCTGGTTGGATGAACTCGCAGGTCCCGTTTGTGTACAGAGGACGTCCTGTTGGATCTCGTATCCACTTCCCATGGGAGAGATCACACTCTGTTCCTGCCACTTTTGAGCATTAAATTTTCGCTTTTGTCCATTGCTGTTTGTCTTCTTACCTTCATGTTTGGTTGTAGGATCCCAAAGTAGGCTCTTGTAGGTGATGAACCACGCTGGACAGATGAAAACGATTAGTCCTGTGAACCTGGAAAGTAGAGTTGGAACCGATCTTTTGGCTCTCATTCGCTTGAGTGGAGTTTACGGGGGATTTTGAGAAAAAAGAGAAAAAAGAGAAGACGAAGAATGTGGTCGTTTGGATGTTGTTATCCGTTTCAGGGGGCAAGTCATTCTCCTTCGTAGTGGGGCTTTCTCTTTCTTTGGAAATTCTCTTTGGAAATTTCTAACCCTGCTGACAATAATAAAGCGATGCATTCAAAATTATAACTTTAATTTGCAGCACAATAATTTGGTTCGCTTTGTTTGTGTGAAAGTTCTGTTTGTAGGTGAACCCTAACTGGGAACTGCAGATCTGTCAAGTGGAGGGGTGACAGCAAGTGTGTCCATGAATGTGAGACGATCCCTATTAGACTGCTACAACGTTCTTCATTTTACTGATGAAGACAACATAAGTGGATAATTGTTCTGATTTCCATCACAGGATTGTAATATTAAACATACAATGAAAGGATTAGTATTTATTGTGTCTAGCTTTTAAATTTGTCATTATTTTCAGTTTCAGTTTGGAAAAACAATTGGAACAAATCATTTGATAGCTGCATTTAAGGCATAAACTCCAAGGCAGCAGTTCCTATTATCTATATCATTAGGCCAATTGGACTGTATTCCATGCAAATAAATAGTCCAACTCATGCAAAATGCCTATTAGCCATGTCTTCTCATTTTAATACACTTAAATTAAGCTTTTTAAAGATTATTATAAAATGCCTTACAAGATGGAGGAGGTTTTACAATCTGATGGAGCAACAAGGGCAAGTTTGAAGTTGTTTTTTTCGTAGTTAGAGCCTGGAAAGTAATGCTTAATGAAGAGTATGTAAGCAATTAAGTTCAAATATAGAGGGAAAGGGTATATGAACAAAAATGCACCTTTTTTTTCCAATTAGTTAAATATTTTGGGATATTTAAGGTTAAATGTCCTCAGGTTTCTGTTAGTCAAAAATCTAAATCCAAGAGCAATATAAAATTACAGTGATTGAGCCAAAGAAGAATCAATTGTTATAGTGTATAAGAAGCAATCTATTGAGTAATGAAGCACCTCACAAGGAGTTACTAGGTAACTTATGCTTCCATTGGTTCCTTGTTCTTACGTGCTAATTGAACATATACTTAAAGTAAATTGTAAAACACTAAATTGTATTATGCTTGGTCTGGTTTTATATGTGTCTAATTCAGGTATAGTTATACTAAAAGATATAATTACTGGAAAAATGTTTTCAATCTAAAACTAAATCTTAAATATAATTCTTATATATATATATCTTAGAAAAAGGTGTTATTTCATATTCTTGTAATGATGTTCTTGTTTATAACATTTTATTTGTAGATGATTGCAATAGATGATGACATTCTCAAGATCATTGTTCTAAAAAAAAATTATTCAAGTCTTTTTGTTATGTGGTTTTTAGAGGGATATAGTTTGCAAATTTTTTACAAGAAACACTTGCTGGAATTTATTCATGAAGAAGATGTTTAAGGGCTTCATTAAAACTATAGGGTGGATATTGAAAGTTATGCAACAAGGTTATGAGGTCACTTATCTAGTCAATGATTGCATAGCAAAAACCATTAGAACTAAATATACACCACCATAGCAATAGCTAATAAGATCTAGCTAAGACAATCCACTTTAAGATCATCTCACACCATTTATTCTACCTAATTTGGAATTTTCTTGGGTGGGACTTAGGGGAGTCTAGTGTTATGAAGATCTATGTCATTTGAGGATGATGAAAAGAAACTAGTAAAATATTTAGTAAAACTTTAAATTATGTTTCTGTGGCAAAACAAAATTACTATCTACAACAATAAATCAATATGGGGTAAAGCCTCGCAACTATAATTGTGGGCCCAAGGATGGATATGGTCAAGGGAATTTTTTTTTTATGTTAGTTTCGGCTAATTGCAAGTAGCACAGTTTTTGTGCTCATTTGTTGAGTAAGGTAAGACATAAATTTATATCCAATGACACTATATTAAGTTTAGAGAGAAAAAGATAACAAGTAATTCTCTAGCTCATGTCATCTCCATAATATTTAACTAAAAGCCAAATTACTCACCTCAAATCTCTCTCTCTTAGTCATACAAAATTGTGAGAAGGGTTTTTCAATTGTTTGCAAGTGCCAATTATGAAATTTTGGTATTGCTCCTTGAGTAGTTTAATTTAAATTAGTTTTGAGTTTGATCAGAAAAAAATTGAGAGCTTATTTATGTTATGAATGATATTGTGTTTTCTAAACAACTAATCAGATACTCTAGTGAATATGTGATTGCACATACTTACACTATATATTTATACATGTTTGGATTTATATTATTATTTTGAGTTGCATGTTAAATTATTATGCATACAATCACTTTTTGATTATTATATAAGCAATCGAAATGTGATTGTATATATAATATTTTTGTCATGAGATATGCCATAGGGCATAACACCTCAAATTGTCGTGCAAGACTAATGCCACATTAGCTCAAACATTATAACATAACCACAAATCTAGTGAGGGTTTTCTATTATGATTATCTCCTCTCATTTCATGTAGTTGTGGCTCATTTCTCACATTTGCAGCACGCCTTAATAAAAGTATAGTGCTTCAATCATTATCACAAGTGCCTCTCATTTCTATAAGTGTATTTACCCTAATCTACATTACAATTGATTGGCATAGAGGAGAGTGCAATTGATTGGATTGCAAAGCCAATATTTTCACAAGTAAATAGATCTTATTTCAATTGTGTTAAGGTATTAATTCTATTAATTTCTCACATTTTTAATCATGTGCTAAATTTTTTGGCATTGTAATGATTTGTTGTACAAAATGCTTTTCATGACACTCATCAAAGAAAAAGCCTAAAACACATAGCAGCAACCTTAGCTTATATGGCATCCAAAAGGTGCTCAAAATCTAATTTGCATGTTGAAAAATATTACACCCTTAAACCCTAAATGTAACCTTGCTAACTTGTTGAAGTTGAAATTTACATAGTGCAAAAAATTGTATACATGCCACTAATATGAATTTTGCCATACATATATGGTGAGCACTAATACATGCAAATACATAAAAAAAAATTGTATTAAAAAATATTATTTTATATATTACATATGTATGTTACAATAATTTAAGCATAGATGTGATTTTGTTTTATATATTTTGTAGCCTTACACAATTTTTTGCTAAGCCACTAACCCTAGGTACACCTCCCCCCAAAATTGTTATCACAAATTGCTTGCTATACGAATCACACAAAATGGATTTAAATAAAAAACACTTAATCAATACTAAAATATACTATAAATGAATACAAAACATATATATATATTCAGATATTTTGCAAAGATAACATTTAAATCAACAGATCATAACACAAGAAGGTGCCAAGCACAAGAAAAAAGGAAAAAGAAAATAAAAGAGAATCCATAAAAATATTAGGGTATCAAACTCTGTCATTCTTAAGTAATTTAGACAAAATAAGATATAATTATTAAGATGAAATATAACTATGTTCCATGTTTCCTCATAAAATTCACTGGAGTAAATTATATTATTAAACCAAACGAATAGCAGGCAATGAAGCCAAAGATGGAAATAGCCCTTATCCATGACAATTTCAAACTATTATACTCTGTATTCATCTTTCTACAAATTCAATCCTCAAATATTTTTCAAGCACAAACATGCATCATTAACTTATAATATAATCATGTCCCATAGAAAGTAGAAAATGAGTAGTATCAGCAAATCATATCTTATATCACGTCCAAAACTTTGATCTATAGATAATATAACAATAAAGATTAAGTGAAAGAAAATCAATATATCTTTGAGTATAATATATAAACTTGGTTAAACACCAAGTAAATTTATCATAATATTTTAAGAAAATAAAAAAATAATATATAAAATAAAAATGTAGAGTATTTATTTATTCAAATGTGTTTCCCATGTCTTTACTCTTCCTTCCAAGCTATGTAAAGGTTCCAACAGCGTCACGACCTGGTCCATACCCGGTCTGAGATGTGATTCCTTCCTTAAGCACTTGAGTGCTACAGCGGCCAGCCTTCTCATCGAGTTTAGCAGCTCTGGCTCGCTCCTCAGTTCCGAGTCCACCATCTCTTGTAACTTACTCTCCTCGCGCAACAGCCTGGGAATCCATCTTGTGGAGCCATCATTCCTTGCAAGCAGCCTCTTCATATTCTTGCTTCCAACGAGCAGCTCTAGCAGCACCAAGCCGAAGTCGGCAACATCCCTTTTGATGCACTCGTCCCATTTAGAAGAGTCCAAGGCCTGTCAAAATAAACAAGAACGAAAGCTATGGACAAAACTGACGGATTTCCTTACCTTTGGCCTATCCAAGCCCAGACCGTAGTCCGAAAGTTTGGCATTGAAATCCTTGTCAATCAACACACTCGCAGGAGTAAGGTCTGTGTAAACAACCTGCGAGATCAACGTTGAAATCTGAGACGTCAATATATACCTTGCTTGCCTGAAAGTAAGCTCTCTCGTGTAAATAAGCGAGACCTCTGGCCGCACCAAGAGCGATATTTACTCTCGTCGACCAGTCAAGAGGACGTATATACTGGCTCTTCGAGAGCAGGACGTTCAGGCCTCCATAGTCACAGTGCTCGAACACCAAAAGCCTCTCCAGCTGCCGGTCTTTGTGCTGTGCAGACGCACAGAACCCGATCAGTTTGCAAACGTTGGGATTTTGCATCCGTGCAATCCATTTCACCTTGGTGATCCAAGTTTCGAGATCCTGCAAAAACTTCTGACACAAAAGCTTAAATAGGAACTTTCAAGTACCTGAATACTGTCACGGAGCCTAAACACTGCAACTTCGATCTTCCTCTTTCCAATGTGACGACCATCCCGAATGTGCATGAGGCACTTGTACACTTTCCCAAAGACGCCTTCCCTGATGCAGCACCCGGAAGAGAATTCCTGGCAGGCCGAATAGAGCTCCTCAAATCTGAAGTACTTCAACTTCACTCCCCATATGTCGGGTGAAACCGGCAGCGAAGAAACGTTCGTTCTTGGCACTAGAGGAGGCACCAGGCAATCATCTTCCAACTCCTTTGGTGGGGGAGGAAGTGGCAGCGGCGTTCCTTTGAATGTCCCCTTCTCAACCAGCACATACAGCGGCTCCCACTTTGGAAGTGATTCGCAGGATCTTCTCATCGTGTTCTTCCCACCACCTTCCCATGGATTTCTTCCTGCCAGCGGTATTGAAAGTGTGTGTCTGTGAAGCGGACGAGTTGACGTTGGTGCGTGGATCCATCGGAGGCCTGGAAACACGGACACCTTTTGAGAACTTCTCATCAGTTCCAAGGATTTCAGGACCAACTCTGCTTCATCCTCAGTTTTCAATGAATGCCGATTCCTGTCCTTGTGAAACCAGAAGCAGCCCATTCCTGCATCTAGGAGAATGAGGCACCATCAGAAACAGAAAGGTTGAGTACCTCACTCGTAGGAGTTTGAGAACGTGGCACATAGCCTCGTGCACTGTGGTGGACCAGCGAGTTTACTAAAATTTCTTTCATGTTGCCTAACACGCTCTGAGAAAGAAAAAGAAAAAATCCCAAAAATCATGCCACAGTCCGGACGGTTTCAAAATAATAGTCCTGAAATATGTTCCCCATTATTTCATCAACAGAAAAGAAAAGAATAAAAGAATAAATTCCATGCACTGGTCATGAAAATAATAGAGCGAATCATTCCTTCTTTCCCAGAATCAAGCGCTTCGTCTACACAACAAGATCAGCAAATCAGCAGTTGACCAAAGAGACATGTTGGACAGACCTGTTCTAGAGTCAAAAACATCACCACGTTCCATGAGCCCAGCCGGACAAAATTTGGAACAAATCCTTTGTAAAACGCAGTCACACCCTACAAAACCACCACCACAGTCATGAGCTTGAAATCGAGATTGCGAGGAAACGTTACATCGTTTTGTAAAGTCTTTACAAAACAGTCGATAGTGCCCTTGTATTTGGAAGAATCTCCCATCATCCTCGATTTCACCTACAAAAGATAAAATGAATTTCTAGTTGGAATCACTGCTACATACCACATGCTACATACCACATCCACCGGAGATCCAACACAAACGGCAATAAATCCAGCTCCCAATCCGGACAATACGTGAGTTAAACTGTTGTCTGGAAGGCCAGCTTTTAAAAGTGACTGAAACGAACGTTATGGAGTTGGAAGCTCGTCGAAACTGACCGACACGAACCTGTTTTACTTGATCATAGCTAGCGAGCTCGGCCGCGTTGATGATAGCGTTACGGGCCACATTTGGACCCAGGCCAGTCCAAAGTTTTGCGAAACCTTCCTGTATGAGATGAAGAGTCCGACTTGGGATGAAAAGACAGTATGTTCGCCATACCTGTTTCACTATTTTACCATAAGCATCCATTGCTCCGGAGTACCGCCGAGGAACTCCGGGTGCCAGTTTTCCTTCGGCCTGTAGCCGAACCTTCACAAGATCAGTAGGATTCGCAACAGTTATGGCTAAAGCACCTGCCAAAAGAGATTAATCGTAAGCAAAGACACCAAAACCAAGGAACGAAACAGGCCAAAGTAGCAGACCTGTCGTGAGTCCCGCGGCAATTTTCTTGACCAAAGGCACGTCACCGGTGTGATCTTTTCCAACGTATAGCATTTTGACCTGCAGCAATCAGTCCATAGCTCATTAGAGATGAAAGAAAAAGAAGGAAAAAGAAAAAAAAAAGAGAGTAGAAGAGCCTCGATCAACTTACAGGCTCATAAAGCCCAATTCGAAGACCTCCAAACAAAACCTGGCGGTGCAAGCCAGGAACGATTCCTTTCCACAGCGCTCCGGCGCCCTCTTCCTTGGCAATAGTCGTCACGGTACCCAACAATCCCCTATACTTCAATCGCGAGGCATCGGCTCCCTCGGCAGCCTTCCCCTGGAGCTGGAGCCTCACCTTAGCAGTATCGATAGGAATGGTAGTGACCTACACAAGCAAGCTACTCGTCAATCCAGCCCAAATGCATCACTCCTATCACTAAATCCCGAAATAAACGCGACCCGATCGGCAGGGAGGAAGAGGAAGGGGGGAACAAGCACTGACCTCGGCGAAGCAGGCGCTAAAGGCACTGCACGCAAAGTTCTTGGCGATGAGCGACACTGCCGACGGCTGGTGCTGGAGCTTCTGATCTGCCGCCATGCCTGGAGCTGGAGGCGCCACAGCCGGATCTTCGCTCCCGATCGATCCGATCGGCTATGGCGCAGCACGCATTCAGCTGAAAAAGGCGAGAGGAGCCCTCACTCCCAAGGCAAAATATATATTCCCTAGCTTCCTTTTGTCACTTAAGCAAATCAAGCCAATTAGTTTAGATTAGCGCATTATGCTTAACACCACAAAGGAGAGAGCTTCTATACAAAATTTACATACAAAAGAAGGAGATCAACTCTTCTCCTTCCTCCTCCTTGGCTTGTTCTTGTCATTTCCAAAACGCGAGGCGAGAGATCTTCTGCGGCAAGCACATCAGCGGCGACGAGAAATTCGTGCTTGAGTCCATGGAGGGCGAGGAGGAGGAGGAACCCGCTGCCACCACGGACGAGGAAGACGAAGACGACGAACTCCCCTGTGAATTCCTCCTCCAAAACTTGAGGACGTGCAAGCTCTCCTCCTCGGTGTGGCGCTGCACCACGATCCGGGACGCGAACCCCTTGCTCTGCATTATCCGGCAGATCTCTCCCGGATTGTTGGCGGTGAGCGTGACCAGGTAGAAGCAGCCCCGGCTGGAGATGATCCCGTCCACCACGCCCAAGAGCCGGTCGATCACCACCCTGCCTCGATCACCCCCGGCCCAAGTCCCTGTGATCCCCGGAGCTCCAACTTCGTCCTCGGGTGTGGGGACGTATGGAGGATTGAAAACCAGCAGGTCTACGCTGCCGGCCAGCCGCCTCTCGAGGCCCGAGACGAGATCGGTGCGCACGACGTCCGCCGAGACGCCGTGCGCCTTGAGCGTCTCGAGCGTCGTCTCGGTGGCGGCCTGGTTGATATCTGTGGCAACGTATTGGGACGACTCAACTTCGTCGCGCAGCATCAAAGCCAGGGAGGAAATCACGTACCCACTGCCACAGCCAATCTCCATGCACAGCTTGGGCTGGAGCTCCGCAAGGTGGGAGCGGTCGGCGAGGAGCGCGTCCACCAGCGCGAAGGAGTCGTCGCAGGGCTCGTAGACGTCGGCGTGGCGGGCGACGAGGCGGATGTCGGCAGATTTTCTTCGCGGCGAGAGGACCTGGAGGAACGAGCACGAATCCGGTGAGACAAAGCACGTAGAAAACTCGAGCCTGACTGAAAGAAAGAGAAGACAATGCAAGACTCTAGATGCTCGCTCGGGAAAATGCGAAGGAAAGAAATCGTTTGAGAAGGAGAAGGAATGCCAGAGATCCAAAGGGAAAGAGCTCACAAGAAAATGCGAAAAACAACCAAACTGGAGGGGAAAGAATTACGTTGTTAGCGCTGTAGGTGTGGCGGAGCTGCTCGCGTAGCGACGGCGCCACACTGTCCATGCTCAGGACGCAATCCATGCTCCGCTTGTGAAAGAGCTGCTTGCGCGAGGTCGAAACCTCAGCTGCTGCTGGCATCAATCAGAGATTCGTCAAACGCACGCGGCAGAGCCAAAATCTCACCCATGATTGATTTCTTCACGCGACGCGCCCGGGGAGAAAAGATCCACAAATCAATCGCTCGCTCGCTCTCGCTAGCTCTCGCTAAGACCTAAGAGCAGAGCCCTAAAATCGTAAAACCGGGGATAAGGAGGAATCGTGCTCCTCGTTGCGGCAGATGTTCGCCTGTGCCGAGGCGATCCGAGATCGTCTTTCAGGGAAGAAGCTTCCTCGAAAAAGACCTTTTGAAAAGGGCAAAACGAACAAAGGAATCTAGGGCTCCTCAAAACATTTTTTAGGGTTCTTCGCTCGCAGAAGCTCCAAATTCGCGGGCTCTTCCAGCCACATTCCTCCGGCATCGCTTCTCAGGCACTCCGCCAGCAGCAGCTCATCGCCGTAGGCCATCCCGGGCAAGAGCAAGCAAGCGACGAGCCCAGATCTCACGGCCTGGTAGACTGCAAATTTGCTGCCGCCGCTCTCGCGCTGGATCATCGCCCACAGGCACTCGACGATCGCGCCTGCGAGATCATCCTCGCCCGGATCGCCACGATCCACACCCGCGCGCGCACTGCTCCTCCTCGCGAGCAGCCGCGTGAGCTGCTGGACGCCGTCGACGAAAACGATCCTCTGGAGCAGCCCCGGCTCCATGGCCAGGTTCTGGATCAACTTCACGAGGTTGTACCGCGCGGCCTCTCCCTGATCTTCGCGCGACAGTAGCTCCACCACCACCTTTAGATTCCGGCTGTGAGGCCCCGCGACTAGCATCCTCCCCTCTCTCGAGCAGCAGGAGATTTGGACGAGACGATTACTCGCCCAGGCCGCGTCCTCCATCGCCCCGGCGGTGATAGTTTCCATCAGCTCCTGGATCGCGGCGATAAGATTTCCTCCCTCGTCCTGGCGCTCGAGCGCCACCTTCAAATTCTCGCTAGCTTCACTGTCGCTGCGATCGATGAGGCCGAAGCTATAGCATCGCCCGAGCTCCACAATCGCGCTCGTGTAGTCCTTGGCGGCCGATTCTCGGTAGAGACACATCGCTTGCACGGCATTGGCTTGGATCCCTCCTGCTCCTCCACGCTCGTAGATCATTCCCAGCCGCCACAGCGCCTCTGGATCGCCCAACAACGCCGCCATCCTGTACCACGTCCGGGCCTCCAAGAACTTGTGCTCGCTTCCTCTCCAGTCCGCCATGAGATCGCCCATCCCGACCTGGATCTTGATCTTCGTGGCTTCGGAAAGAGCGCTAGAGTCTTGGATCCATTCCCTAAGAGCTCCGAGTGGAATCGTCCGCTGTTCCACCGCATTGCGCAGCAGCCAATTCTCTCCCAAGTAGTAGACCAGCGCCTCTAGCTCGTCGGCAGAGAGATCGGCAAGGAAAGATCCGCCAGTGTTCTTGGTGATCCTGCTTCGCGTCTCGAGGCCCCGGATCATCCCCAGAAAGTCGCAAATCTCCGAGAACTCGGGGCGCATTCGATCCTCTTCATGGCGGCACCTAGAGAGAAATTCGGCAATGTAGTCTGGAATTCCGCCTAGTCCATCGTCGCCACCCAAGATCTCGTAGCATACCATTGCGAAGTCGCGAACGTCGGCTTCCCTGGAGTACAAACTTCCACCGTTCTGATCGAAAACCATCCTCTTTGCCGAGCCTGTTCTTGAGGAAGTTCTTGCGATCCTCGAGAGGATCTTCGCGAGCCCGAAATCCGAGAGCTTGACGATGAAATCTCCAGTGCTGGAGAAGCTCACGAGAGCGTTCCTCGTCTTGAGGTTCGTGTGAATGATCCTGAGATCGTGCAAGCACCTCATCCCCCGGGCGATCTGGAGCATAATATCCAGCGATTGATCCAGGGAGAAGGGCCCCGGCTGTGAATCCTCACCTCGAGCTCGACCCCTCGCCTTCCCCGCGATCACGGCCGAGAGATTTGTGCTCATCAGCTCCATCACCAGCGAGCAGCCCTGGTCTCCCCGCGGCGCGATCCCCAGGACGCGCACCAGATTGGGATGGATTGCGTGGAAGAGCGGCGCAGCATTGCTTCCCAGATCGACCGGCAGCACCTTCTCCGCGAAGCTCTGCCGCAGCCATCGTGTTTGATAAACCCTAATGCCCTGACTATGGCCGATGGTTTTCCCGCGCTGGAGCTCCGCGGAATTGATCCTGTATGCTCCGGCCATCTCGCGCGGATCGAGCCGAGGGATGAGCGTTAGCGCCATCTGATGGAGCTGCTTGTTCTTCTCTCGATCTATCGTCTTGCACAAGACCTTGGATTTCTGGAGGATTTCTAGCCGATCGCGCCGCGACAGCTCCTCCAGCGATGATGCTCGCAGGCTGCCCAGAGTCTCCTCCATGTAACCAAGAAGGACCCCCTCGTCGGGTAGGATGCGAGTGAGCGCCAGGGATTTGCACAGATCTTCCACCGCGACTTCGAATTCCTGCTGGTTTTCTTCCTTGAGCAGGGCCTTCTCCAGCCACTGCGCCCTGGATCTGCCGCAGGAGGAGACGAGGTCGAGGCACTTGATCACGGCTGCCTTGACGATGCTTTGGAATCCTCCATAGCTCTGTTCTTCCACGAACCCTTCCACGAAACGAGCGAGGAATTTGCACTGCCATATCGCGATCTCCGAATTCTCGGCCGCAGACGCTATCCGCTCTACCAGATCCGCCAGCGGCCGCTGCTGATCGATTGAAAAATCTTGCGAATCCGCGGCATCGAAGCAGCTGCTACTGCTAGAAGAGATATCTCTCCTGGAATCCAAAGACATGGCGGAGAAAACTCCTCACCTTCGAAAGTCGCGATAGACCTCAAAGAATCCCTGTTGAGGCGGCGGACTGTGCCCCTCATCCATCGATCCGGCGCGTGGAATGCCGGCGGTCTTGGAGCTTTCCCTGGACGCATCCGAGAGAGAGCTCGCCGATCGCCTCAGAAGCGCCAAGAACACCGCGCAATGTCAGCTCCTCCATGCCCAGATCCTCGCGAGCCGGCGCCACCGTGACAGCCTCTTCCTCGCGAATGCGCTCATCCAGATCTACGGCAGATGCAACGAGGCCGGAAAATCAAAGCGCGTCTTCGATGGAATGGAACGCCATTGCTTCCTCACCTGGAAGCTCCTCCTCCAGGCATATGCCCTAAAGGGGCATCTGGACGATGCCAAGCGAACATTCGAAGCCATGCCCGAGAGAGATGCCGTGTGCCACAACATCATGATCACGGCCTATGGAAGAGCCGGCCAGCTGGAGCACGCCAAGCGTATGTTTGACACGTCGGTGGAGTGGAGCATCGTGACGTGGAATGCCCTGCTGGCAGCATATACCGAGAACCGGCATTTTGACCAGGCGGTGGAAATATACCGGATTATGCCCGCCGTGAGCATCGTCTCCGCGAACACGATGATGCATGGCTATGCCCTAGAGGGCCGGATCGAGGACGCTGCCGCGATCTTTGATCGAATGCCGGAGATCAGCATGGTTTCGTGGACGGAGCTCCTCGCACTCCATGCCCAGAGGGGGAATTTGCCGCGGGCGAGGAAGATCTTTGCACAGGTGCCCGAGTTGAATGTAGTGATGGCCACTGCGATGATCCAGGCGTGCGCGCAAAGCGGGGAATTGCGGCGAGCAGTGGCGATCTTTGAGAGGATGGGCGAGAGGAATCTTGTGGCGTGGACGGCGATGGTGTGCGCATTCGTCCAGGGCGGGGATTTGGCGTCGGCGAAAGCGCTGTTCGATTCAATGCCGGAGCACGACACCGCCTCGTGCAATGCAATGCTCCAGGCGCTAGTTTCCTTGGGATTTCTCGAGGAATGCAAGGGAATGTTTGATTCCATGGTCGATCGAAACGAAATCTCGTGGGCAGTGATGCTCGAGGCGTATGCCCAGACAGGGGATCTCCAGCAGGCGAAGCAGCTCTTCGATTCCATGCCCGATCAAACGCTAGTGGCACGGACCGCGATAATGGGTCTCTTTGCAGAGAAGGGACACTTGCGTCTGGCGAAGAAGATCTTTGACACGATGTTCTTGCGGGACACGATCGCTTGGAATGCTATGGTAGCTGCAAATGCCCGGAGCGGGCATGCTACCGCATCGCTGGATCTCTTCCACCGCATGGCCGTAGAGGGCTATAACCGCGAGGAGCTCGCGTTCGTCAGCGTTCTTGCGTCGTGCGCGCAAATGGGCGCGCTGGAGCGCGCGCGGGGCTACTTTGTGTCGATGGAATTCGACCACGGGCAAGCGCCTGAGCTGGAGCACTACTCGTGCATTGTGGATGTGCTCGCGAGGCTGGGCTACCTCCGCCAGGCGCGAGAGCTCCTCTCCACCATGCCCTTCGTGCCCAACGATTCGAGTTACAAGGCGGTGCTCAGCGCTTGCCGGATCCAACATAACGTCCGCCACGCGTCTGGGATCCTGCGCGAGTGCCACACCAACCACTGGGACACGGCGGCGCCGCTAGTCCTCTTCTCCAACGCCGCCAGGAGCCACTAACCGATCCATTGCCAAGCTTCTTGTTTACTGCTTGACAACGGGAATGGAGGCCATCGCTGCCGCGGCTTTCTCGTCGGAATAGTCGAGATCTTCGATCTCTCCACTCAGAAACTTCTCGTACGAGGCGAGATCAAAGTGGCCGTGGCCGCACAGTGCCATGACAATCACTTTGGCCTCGCCACTCTCTCGGCATCGCTCCGCTTCACGGATGGTAGCAGCGATCGCGTGTGTTGGCTCAGGTGCTGGAATTATTCCTTCGCTTCGAGCAAATTGTAGAGCTCCTGGACATACCAGTCTTTAGCCAGGAATACCAGTAAAAGAGCGATTTTCTACCTTGGAAGCATTCTTTCTGCGGTATAGCTATGGCCTCCATGAGCTTAAGATTGTAGAGGTGTGATATCAGCGGTGCCATTCCATGGTACCTCAATCCTCCTGAGAAACTGGAAAGTTACAAAAGTTGATAAACGCGAAACTTACCAGCGTGGATGGGATCTGGAATAAAGTCGTGCCCGAGCGTATGCATCTTCATCAGGGGCGTAAACCCGGCAGTGTCACCATAGTCGTAAGCGTACACTCCTCTTGTGAGTGATGGACAAGCCGCCGGCTCGACTGCTCGGATCACCGGATTCATCTTCCCTGCGAACTTCTCCCGAAGAAACGGGAAAGCCAAGCCTCCAAAGTTCGATCCGCCGCCAGTGCAACCGATGAGTATGTCCACGTCGGTCTCTCCGGCTTTGGCCAGCTGAAGCAAGCATTCCTCGCCGATCACCGTCTGGTGGAGAAGGACGTGAT